CTAATATTGAAACGTATAGAAACATTTCCACTCTTTTCATTCATATAGTGGGGCAGTCGGGTAGCCTAGTGGTTAAAGCATCCACTCGTCACGCCGAAGACCCGGGTTCGATTCCCGACATGGGTACAATGTGTGAAGCCCATTTCTGGTGTCCCCCGCCGTGATATTGCTGGAATATTGCTAAAAGCGGCATAAAACCATACTCACTCACTCATTCATATAGCAACATGTGTTTGCATGTGTGTGTCACACAGTACACTGACTCCAAGCCCACCAATCCTGTTTCATCCCCACCACCAGGCAGGACAACAACAAATACCATCTTTTAAAGTCTTTTGGTATGACACGGCTGGAGATCAACCAACCAACAACCTTCCTCCCTACGCCTGTCTCCATCAGACGCTCAGACCCATCCACTAGACAGAGGAGATCTGAATGTTGGATGAATTACGGTAAACTATGGTACGTAACTTCAAAGGTATGTTGGCGAGATCCCTAGCTGCACACAGTGAGACATCTCCAGTGAAACACTCCCTGGCCCCACCTCACATCACACCATTGTTGGATGGCAAAGCCATAATGCAATTCTCCACTTCCATACACTGAATTAATGATAACATTACACCATGCTAACACTACCCACACTCTCAAGCAAATCTGCCTAGTTTTCTACAAACTGGATTCACCGTAACCCCGGCTTATTTAATACTGCACATGGATATTTGCTGAAGATCTTTACCCAAAGGAGGCCCTTGAAATGTCTTGACTGAACAAGCCTAACTTGAGAGTGGTGATTAATGTATGTAACATTCTAGCGCTGCTAAAGGAAATGTGTTTACTTCAATATTAGGTTTCCTTTCCCAAATTGTTTCAGAGGTTTTTTTAGCTTCCAAATGTCCCAACTGTTTTCCCTAAAATATTAATCATTTACTGGACCATCTCCATCTCAATTGTTAAAACATATTTTATATTAAATTTTTTAATCTATATTATTATTATCATAAGAACAAAACTGCCAGACAGTTGTATGATCATGATTATGTTCTACCAGAAACCTCCAAAAGCCTAAAACTTTGTCTTTTTAACTGTGAAGAACCCATAGTAGCAATCAGAGATAAATGTTTTTGAGATGGCCCCCATGATGGGTCTGAGACTGAGAAAGACAGGACTGGTCCCATTGACTCTCAAGGGAGCAGCGTGTGCATCCACTGTAAATCTTAACTGATTTGATGGCCAGACTCATAAGAAGAAAGACAATTACTAATGCCTCCCTCAAGTCAACAATAATAGAACTGAAGATGGGATACACATCTGAAAGTTATTACATTACACAAATTTGTAATTAATATGCATTTCATCAAGGAATCATATTCAAATTCAATTTAACACATTCAAGAGATATGTAAAGTAAATTATGATGAAAAGGGACAGTGAGGGTGAAAGAGAAAAAAGCAGGAAGATGTTTCAGGTTTCGTCGAATGTCTAGCGGTATGTGTGTTAAGCATACAAGTCAAGGCATTTTCAGCACAACTTATATAATTAAACATGCTAAAACTACAAGATCAAGGTGGCCTCCTAAATGCAAACAATACAGCACCCCACCCCACCCCACCCCACCCCACCCCACCCTATATTTGGAACATTTATTTGTACCAACCTATTAAAAACTGACAAAATCAAATCTTGTCCAAATCATCAAAGAAAAAGAAGATATAATAGAGGTTAATGTTAATGGTTTTCATCGAGAAGCAAATGTCCATAGTGAACAATAATCTGCACAATGTCAATAATGATAGGATCCATTCTCCGATTTCAATATTGGAGATTCGGCTATTATACTTCTGTCATTAATTGACTGTCTGGATGACCTCCGACCTCACCATATGCCATGTGACTCACAGTTTGCCGTGATGTGTGGCCATCCGAGATTAACAAAGATGGCTAGAAGATGACCACAGCCTCAGGCCAAACAAAATAGATCAAAGAATGATCTGACAAAACTAAACAAAGTGAGATCATCATGAGGTATTATTCAAGCACTTCAAATGGGGTATAATACATCTAGTTTGTTTATGTTACTGACAACATCAAAGAATGGCATTGACAGGCAGAGCATGAAACCTGTCCTGTCAAAATATGTTTCATTTGATTTTACTAGATAATTTACTTTTTAACAGTTAACTTAAATGTTTTAGCATGTTTACTGCGATTTGGGGAAGAATTCCTCCAAATTCAGAGACATTGGAAGGGAAAGAGTGTTTGAAATTGATCAGGAAAGTCAAAGCATCCTTGTGGCCAAATAGACACACTTTTTTAATTTTATATTTCACAGAATTATTCCAGCTATTCGTTAACAAAAATATAAAATAAATAGGTTGGTGATTTATTTATTTATTTATTTATTTATCTATTTATTTATTTATAAGAAAGTCATTTATTTATTTATTTATTTATTTATTTATTTATTTATTTATTTATTTATTTATTTATTTATTTATTTATTTATTTATTTATTTATTTATTTATTTATTTATTTATTTATTTATTTATTTATTTATTTATTTATAAGAAAGTCATTCTGACCTGGAGTTAAAACTGCAGCTGGCTTCTTGAATCACTGATAGTGATGTAGACATGGAATTTATATACATTTTATGTTGTAAAAGAGGGTCCATATTACCATGTTTACTAGCGGGAGAAGTAATAAAAATAAATCTTTTTATGTTTAATTTTCCAGCTGCTTTTCAGTAGGGGAGGTGGGCTAGTGCAACGGAAAAAAATAAAATAATGTGTGGCTCTAATATTCTTACATCAGGATGTATTCTACCCATGCTACCACTGCAGTATTCAATGCAAACTATGTCACATTTGCAAAGCCATCAAATATAATTCTATACTTCATGATAACCTGAACAGGCTAAATTTGGACATCACTCAAATTTGGAATTTTTTACCAATTTATGCTACAGCCTTGGAACCAAACAGGCCTCGGAGAAAGCCATGACATATATCTGATTCCTAACCCTCCACTTGGTAAACACTACAATTTTACATCTTATATGGTATTTCACAAATGTTTCAGATGTTGTATGTGGAAATGCAAGAGGATGTAAACTGAACAAGGATGTAGTTATGCGCTTGTTGTCAAGTATGAGCATGACAAGGGGATTGGGAGTCTGCCACAACACTTCTGACAATGACGACACAATACACTGTGGTCAGTCAGTGAACCGGCATACATGCTAATTATCTCCCTGTACTGGTACATGTGTCTGGATTTACAGCATCTATTGATTGGTCGGTCCATTACGCTGAACCTCGGTCAGGCTGCTACAACATTGCATCAGCAAAGCCATGCCGTGGATGCTGGTAGTGTGTTGAACAACATCCAATGCAGTGCTACATTCATTGGAATTTTGGCTCCATGGATCCGTCAAAATTCTGTTATCGACAACTTGACTTTTATTCTTAATTTTGAACAGACGTTGAGACAGAGTTTGAGCAACATATTTTTTAACAATGCTGCATCTTTGATACAACATGAAGATTCAATAAACACATGGCAAGCATTAGAGGGCTATAGGTGCTTTGTCTTTCTTTATGAAGTACGTCAGACTGTTTGCCCCAAAAGTTATTTAAACCTTTTCAAATATTCTGCATATTTCAGAATTCTTTTTATCTATTCTATTTATTTATGGGACAAAAGAAAGGAGAAACTTCAACAAAGTATATATATATATGTAGTTACATAAACTCCAGATAAACATTTGCCCTAAAAAGACAAATTAAAAAGTTATAGTTCTAAAATTACACGTCCATGTTATTTATCAGGTCAAAGGCCTAAACACTGCTAAACTATATAGTCATTTCTAGGAGAGTTGTGTACAAGAAATTATTAAGAAACAGTATCTAATCATGATAATGAGATGTTACAATTGTACTGAAGTGACCATGTGACAACTCAAGTGCCTGCAATATTGTTAGTTATTTGTCAACCTCCTCGACGAAATTACAATGGAGTATGACTCACTTCATTAAGTGGGTCAATTTAACAATTGCCTCACTATCTTAGGAAGGAGGCAGCATTTATTATCCATTATGCCAATTTACAGTCTTAATGAAGACCTTGTAGAAATCAATGCCATTTTAATGTTAATCCAAGCAGATGTTGCTTCTGCATAAAATGATCACAAACCAGAAATGCCATTTGTGAACATGTGCTATAGTTGCTTATCAATCAACATAACAGTAAACTGTACAGAAAAGTAGGTGGGATCTTAAGTTTGATTAAATATGATTTAAATATACAGGATGCTTGTTAAATATCAATACCATAAGAAATGGGTCATAAAAAGATTGAATAATGAAACATTCTCGAGTAAGTTACTCTAAATTACTAGATCTTTGTCTTTTTCTCTACAAAGGTTGATAGAGCAATCAAACTCTTGCGAATGTGACAACCAAATTTTAAAATAAGTTTACATAAAGCTGGTATAAATATTCATCATTCGGAACATGGATCTAGGTGAAACATTAACATTGTTTGTTAGAAATAAACGTATTAGCATTAATTGATTGTTTTCATTCGTCAGCATCAGGTCACTGTTGCATGAAGCGTTATGAAACATGCTTTGTGATTGTATCAGTTAAGACATATTTGGTCCATTCAAACGACATCTCATATTAAAGTGTACACTGATTCGGTAAAATCGATATACACGGACAAGAGACAAGTATCTTGGAGGCGACTACCGCGCCGTGAATCCCATGTGTTGAAAAGGTGAACAACGCCCATTATGACGACTGTCACCCAAACAAGCAATGTCAATATGACTATGCGGATACACACCTTACAAGAAACACTTAGACGTTATTGACAACACATTAAAGACTAACACAATGACTTTCATATATATTTATCCAATATGAAGACCATTTATCTGTGTTGCCTTGACTTGACAGATCGTCTGAAGATAAACATGGAAACTGAAAACACGCACCTGAAAGGCACTCTCCCTGAGAGCGGCCGAGACACTTTCCCGAATCTTCGCAGCATCTCCTCGATTTCGGAGAGCCTCTTTGAAGTTTTTGAATTTTCGCTCTGTCAGATGAGCAGCCATAATTGTTTAAATCCTTCTTTGTCACGATCTTTTCTCATTTCGTTTCTTACGGAAGTCGAAGCTTTCCGCCATATTGATTTGTGAGTATGTAAGGGAGGTAACTCATCACTGGTGCAACCACTCCTCTTTACTCACCTAAAAGTATATGTCGAATGTTAAATGTTCTAAGGTAAAAACGGAACGAGAGTGAAAATTGATTTTTATGCACCAATAATATAAACAAATATAAAATGAATTCTAATCAATTTCTTGCCAGTATTATACAATATAACTTATGACATTCTAGTATTTCATTACCACAATTTCATGCTTATAATTGTAGAAACACCTAAAATTCATTTTTGTGGATCTTCCGAAAATTGAAAAGAATAAATATAACATTGTAATGTTTGCTGTTTCTCATTATTTAACTTCCATGTGTATTAAAGTGATTGCCCGTAGTATTACACTGTGTCGAGGTGACAAAGGGCTGTGACATACCGTATTCGACGTAATAAGCGCCTAGGGCGCTCTCAAAATTAGAAATAGGGGGCTCTTATTAGAATGTTATTTTGGTGAAAAATACAGAGTTGAAAGATAAATTTCATGGTGTATGCTGACAGCCTGAAATGTTTATGTACGACAGATATATTTTTCCAGAATTAAATGCCCATAATTAAGGGTGCATATAACACACGAGTGCGTTTTATACGCGTATAAATAAGTCTGGTGTACATTGATCAATCGGAAGGGGTGCTAATTTGGATTGTTCACTAGCCAATATATTAGCAAATGTCGCCTTGGGCGCTTATTACGTCGAATACGGTATGTAGATTGAGTTAAGCCTTGTTATCTCCCCTGCAGTCAAGAAGCTACCATAAAATATTCAATCTGAAATCTTTTGGTATCACCATTCCCCTAAATCAAGAAAGTAACTGGGATACAGATCTGTTCAATTTCTAGGACACTGACTGATCGTTATCCAAAATGTCCCGAAGATGTTTTGAAGATTTGGTATTGATATAGAAGAACGTCCTATGATCGAAATATCATGAACTGTCCTGCGGCCTATTTTCTCCAGCAAACTCTCTGGAATACATGTGTATGTTGTGAGAGAGTCTGTGCATGTTGATGTCTTTAAAATGCATGTAATTTTGCAAGAACAAAATCTGCTTTCACAGAAAAAGGGACACCAAGAAATTGTTGGGTTGATCTCAGCAGAAGCACAACATACTGTACAGAGTTATGTCCCTTTATTGTAAGGATTGGTTGGGTGTGGGATTGAGTCCTAGTTTTATTTGATTATGAACCTTGATCAGTCCATATTATCACAGTCTCTTAGAAGGATATTTACAACAGTCCTGCTAACACGATATATATTTAAAAGGTACTGTATTAAGCCCCCTGCCCTAATAATCCCTCCCAACCCAACCCCGACTATTTTCTAGACCAATCTGCAAGTACCCTTTATAAGCTTGTTGGTTGGTTGTTTTGTTGTTTAACGCCGCACTCAGCAATATTCCAGCTATATGACAGTGGTCTGTAAATAATCGAATCTGGACCAGACAATCCAGTGATTGATATTATGAGCATCGATCCTCGCAATTGGGATACGATGACATGCATCAACCAAGTCAGCGAGCCTGACCAGTTAGTCGCCTTTTACGACAAGCATGGGTTGCTGAAGACCTATTCCACCCCGGATCTTCACGGGGAGACAAGCATGGGTTGCTGAAGACCTATTCTACCCCGGATCTTCACGGGGAGACAAGCATGGGTTGCTGAAGACCTATTCTACCCCGGATCTTCACGGGGAGACAAGCATGGGTTGCTGAAGACCTATTCTACCCCGGATCTTCACGGGTCCCCTTTATAAGCACCCCCACAAAGACCAAACGTTGATTAACCGTTTCATTGATGTTTTAACTGTTTTTTAACTCTTTTGTGGTTTTAATAAACACCCCCTGTCTATTTTCCAAGCGCCAGGGCACTTATTACATTGAATAAAGTAATAAATAGAGGGGAGAACTATTATTCTTGACAGTTTTGAAAATTTCAGAGTAAGTTGAAAGTTTGAAAGTTTTGTCTATTACACAGGGGCCTGTATCTTCAGTAATTCAGCCCCAAGGACCTCATGTTTAATTTAAGAATTGACTAAAACTGGGATCAGGTGGTCAGGCTTATTTCAAGTCATTGTACACTGATGGCAAGAATCATGCTCATGCTTTCAGTCACTGGTTTGCTTTGTCCAGACTCGATTATATGACAGAATAGTGCTGACATTGTGCTTATTGGAATATTTCAGTGTACTTGTGAAATATTATGATACTTGGGACAAATATATTTTATAGAAACCTACTGTACCAGGTATCAATGTCCATAACCTCAGACCTCACTCTTCATACTTCGAGCTGCAGACATCATGTAGTGGGTGTGGCAAGTCCAGGTGGAACTGTGACATGAGTACAGACATCTTGTAGTGGGTGTGTCAAATCTACGTGGAACTGTGACATGTGTTTCTGTACAGACATCATGTAGTGGGTGTGGCAAGTCCACGTGGAACTGTGACATGTGTTTCTGTACAGACATCTTGTAGTGGGTGTGACAAGTCCAGGTGGAACTGTGACATGAGTACAGACATCTTGTAGTGGGTGTGGCTAGTCCACTTGGAACTGTGACGTGTGTACAGACATCTTGTAGTGGGTGTGGCAAGTCCACGTGGAACTGTGACATGTGTACAGACATCTTGTAGTGGGTGTGGCTAGTCCAGGGGGAACTGTGACATGTGTACAGACATCTTGTAGTGGGTGTGGCTAGTCCACGTGGAACTGTGACATGTGTACTGACATCTTGTAGTGGGTGTGGCAAGTCCAGGTGGAACTGTGACATGTGTTTCTGTACAGACATCTTGTAGTGGGTGTGGCAAGTCCAGGTGGAACTGTGACATGTGTTTCTGTACAGACATCTTGTAGTGGGTGTGGCAAGTCCAGGTGGAACTGTGACATGTGTTTCTGTACAGACATCTTGTAGTGGGTGTGGCAAGTCCAGGTGGAACTGTGACATGTGTTTCTGTACAGACATCTTGTAGTGGGTGTGGCAAGTCCACGTGGAACTGTGACATGTGTACAGACATCTTGTAGTGGGTGTGGCAAGTCCAGGCGGAACTGTGACATGTGTACAGACATCTCGTAGTGGGTGTGGCAAGTCCAGGCGGAACTGTGACATGTGTACAGACATCTTGTAGTGGGTGTGGCTAGTCCACGTGGAACTGTGACATGTGTACTGACATCTTGTAGTGGGTGTGGCAAGTCCAGGTGGAACTGTGACATGTGTTTCTGTACAGACATCTTGTAGTGGGTGTGGCAAGTCCAGGTGGAACTGTGACATGTGTTTCTGTACAGACATCTTGTAGTGGGTGTGGCAAGTCCAGGTGGAACTGTGACATGTGTACAGACATCTTGTAGTATGTGTGGCAAGTCCAGGTGGAACTGTGACATGTGTTTCTGTACTGACATCTTGTAGTGGGTGTGGCAAGTCCAGGTGGAACTGTGACATGTGTTTCTGTACAGACATCTTGTAGTGGGTGTGGCAAGTCCAGGTGGAACTGTGACATGTGTTTCTGTACAGACATCTTGTAGTGGGTGTGGCAAGTCCAGGTGGAACTGTGACATGTGTACAGACATCTTGTAGTGGGTGTGGCTAGTCCACGTGGAACTGTGACATGTGTTTCTGTACAGACATCTTGTAGTGGGTGTGGCAAGTCCAGGTGGAACTGTGACATGTGTTTCTGTACAGACATCTTGTAGTGGGTGTGGCAAGTCCACGTGGAACTGTGACATGTGTACAGACATCTTGTAGTGGGTGTGGCAAGTCCAGGCGGAACTGTGACATGTGTACAGACATCTTGTAGTGGGTGTGGCAAGTCCAGGCGGAACTGTGACATGTGTACAGACATCTTGTAGTGGGTGTGGCTAGTCCACGTGGAACTGTGACATGTGTACTGACATCTTGTAGTGGGTGTGGCTAGTCCACGTGGAACTGTGACATGTGTTTCTGTACAGACATCTTGTAGTGGGTGTGGCAAGTCCAGGTGGAACTGTGACATGTGTTTCTGTACAGACATCTTGTAGTGGGTGTGGCAAGTCCAGGTGGAACTGTGACATGTGTACAGACATCTTGTAGTGGGTGTGGCTAGTCCACGTGGAACTGTGACATGTGTTTCTGTACAGACATCTTGTAGTGGGTGTGGCAAGTCCAGGTGGAACTGTGACATGTGTTTCTGTACAGACATCTTGTAGTGGGTGTGGCAAGTCCACGTGGAACTGTGACATGTGTACAGACATCTTGTAGTGGGTGTGGCAAGTCCAGGTGGAACTGTGACATGTGTACAGACATCTTGTAGTGGGTGTGGCTAGTCCACGTGGAACTGTGACATGTGTTTCTGTACAGACATCTTGTAGTGGGTGTGGCAAGTCCAGGTGGAACTGTGACATGTGTTTCTGTACAGACATCTTGTAGTGGGTGTGGCAAGTCCACGTGGAACTGTGACATGTGTACAGACATCTTGTAGTGGGGTGTGGCAAGTCCAGGCGGAACTGTGACATGTGTACAGACATCTTGTAGTGGGTGTGGCAAGTCCAGGCGGAACTGTGACATGTGTACAGACATCTTGTAGTGGGTGTCGCAAGTCCAGGTGGAACTGTGACATGTGTTTCTGTACAGACATCTTGTAGTGGGTGTGGCAAGTCCAGGTAGAACTGTGACATGTGTTTCTGTACAGACATCTTGTAGTGGGTGTGGCAAGTCCACGTGGAACTGTGACATGTGTACAGACATCTTGTAGTGGGTGTGGCAAGTCCATGTGGAACTGTGACATGTACAGAGATCTTGTGGGTGTGTCATGTCCAGGTGGAACTGTGACATGTGTACAGACATCTTGTGGGTGTGTCAAGTCCATGTGGAACTGTGACATGTGTTTCTGTACAGACATCTTGTGGGTGTGGCAAGTCCATGTGGAACTGTGACATGTGTACAGACATCTTGTGGGTGTGTCAAGTCCAGGTGTAACTGTGACATGTGTACAGACATCTTGTGGGTGTGTCAAGTCCATGTGGAACTGTGACATGTGTACAGACATCTTGTGGGTGTGGCAAGTCCATGTGGAACTGTGACATGTGTACAGACATCTTGTGGGTGTGTCAAGTCCAGGTGGAACTGTGACATGTGTTTCTGTACATTTGGATAGAATGCAATCCTGTTGCTAAATATCCTAGATCCTCTTCTGAATATGCCTAACATCTTTTTCCAAGACAAATAATAATTGATCATGATCATGCATCAGTTTACATTTAATAATAATCAAAAACACCATAATCTGAAGATAGCTTTTATTAATAACAAAAATTAAAGCCAGTGTATATTTTTTTTTTAAATGTTTAGAAATATGTCAAAATCATCTAAAATGCATCTTTGGACTTATATATCACAGATGGTTGGTAAAGGTATAGGTATAGGTATATTGTTAATAAAACTGTCCCATGGGGAAATCACATTCTGGACCATCTGTCAGTCTCAACTCCACCAGTGTAAACACTTCTATAATTCTACAAAACAGACTTACAGCTGTCCCATTGTGACTGCATGCAGATATATACATTTAATTTAATTATGATAAGTGTCTGTGACGATGATTGCTTTTGGAAAGATGCCTCAGAATTAAGAAAAAAAAACTTCTCTTGGAAATTTTGCACAATGAAAAATTTCGAGGAAGTAAGTTTAGGAATGGAATCACCATGGACGATACATATAAACTATTTGACAAAGTTTTACACACACAGAATAATGGACGGATGTCGCATGTCATAGTAATATCGTCATATCAAAGCATCCAATCAGGTACTGATTTACTGGATAAACGAACAATTCCTGGAATTCTCATGTCATAGTAATATTGTCAAATCAAAGAATCAAATCAGGTACTGATTTACTAGATAAACGAACAATTCCTATATGTCTCATGTCATAGTTACATAGTCAAATCAAAGAATCAAATCAGGTACTGATTAACTAGATAAACGAACAATTCCTGGATGTCTCATGTCATAGTAATATCGTTAAATCAAAGAATCAAATCAGGTACTGATTTACTAGATAAACAAACAATTCCTATATGTCTCATGTCATAGTTACATAGTCAAATCAAAGAATCAAATCAGGCACTGATTTACTAGATAAACGAACAATTCCTGGATGTCTCATGTCATATAATATTATCAAATCAAAGAATCAAATCAGGTACTGATTTACTAGATAAACGAATAATTCCGGGTTTCCTGTATCACAGAAACAACAATAATCAGACCTCTGTGTCTGGATTCTACAGAACAACAGAAATAAATTTTAACTAAAACATAATTTTCAAGTATTTGCAATAAATTCATTCATCCATTTTGTAATGACCTGAACCATTTCGACTGTAGAGAAGCTAGAAGTTCATAAGATGTAAATACATATTGAGATAAAAAGGATCACAATGTCCAAGAGATCAGCAATCATCGCCTGGTCTAGTTAATCAAGACAGTTCATCTTCAAACTGTCATACTTTTTATAATAGAAAAAAAGGCCTGTTCCACCCAACATTTTCACAACCCAGGAATCCTTCATGTTAGGATCTACACACGTCGTAGTGCTGGGATTTGGTTTTCCAAGGTCCTCGGAAGAGTACCGGTATGTGAGATTCAATAAATAGCCCATTAAAGATACAACAACATACACTGAAGTAATGGATTCCTACACGACCATGAACACTCGTGATCACATGGGACTAGATACATAGGAAATATTGCAGAAAATGGCATCAAAACACAAGAAAACTAAATAGAAAAATCACTGAAGTAGAATGATTCTTCATAACCATTGGAGAACATCATTATAAGCCCTAACACCAAATGAGAAAAAACAGTTGAGAAATGCAAAAGATTCTAACACCACACCCTTCTTTGCAAATAAAGATGAATGCTTTAACTGTAGAAATAATTTCAATTAACAAATTCTTGAAAGTCATTGTAAAATAGACCAAGTAGGCCAGTCATAATTCAAAAATGTTTCCGTAGCCTGGGGCAATGTATGACATCATTATGAAACTGGTTCTTACCTGGGAACAATCAATTTGAAACTCATTTGAGAGGCATTTAGAAATTGGAGTACTAAGTAAAGATGATATATATGGATGAACAACTTCTTTATTACAATTGGGACGACGTTTCAGTGTAGGTTCCAACACCAAATTAAAGAACATCAAAGCTCAGTCTCCAAAGATGACTCGAGAAGTCAGCTCCATCAGACCATACCTGAGACAACCCAAGCCACCGCTTCCAGTGGGACAAAGTCAAAGCCCTCACCACCAACCTCAAAGAATTAAAAATCAGAAAACTACAAGAAGCCATCAACATCAAAAGACTCCATCCATCAATCAACCGTGACCAAGGCTATTACATACCACCCTCTCCCCACCCCACCCCCCAGCGTACTATCAACTCAACAAAGACCCCAATCAGTCATAATCCTTTTGTTTATATTACTGGCTTCACCGGTCAAAATGTTTTCCCTTTTGTGTACGAACAGGCTTCTCCACTCCAGTGTACTACACCTTAGGCTAAAAAACATAATAGTCTTGGTTCTCAGGCACAGCCTACATCATCATAAAGTTCACCGCACATTTCATTTATATTTCCATTTTTAAAAAAACAAAACCTTAAATATTTCAAGTCAAACGGTAGTCATATACTGTATTCCAGTATTTTACTCATCAAGGAATACATTTATGAAGTGAGGTCCTTTCCCACAACTGTATATTTGGTTACAAACTAGTTTGAACAACCTAAAAAACAACCCCCAAAACATTGACTGCCAACCCGCACTATATTTTCAAAAGTCATTGCCTGAGAACCAATTATTTTATTTTTTTTAGCCTTAAATCTACTCAAATCTGTTCATCCATATATGTCATCCTTACTTAATCTGAAACTCCTTGCATTTAGTTTATTCAACAAAGAAGACATATTGCCATTCACTATAGTTACTTTAGAAACTGTGTAGGGATATAATGTCTGAGTGAACCGTCTCATATATGATAGTGCCAACTGATTTGCAGCCATGTTTGTTTACAAATGCACTTGCACATCAGGAAACATGTATCTGATGATTTTAGAGAACATTATGCAATAGGTTTGAGAAAGCACATGCCACAGGGATGTTCAGAGCTTACTGAAAGTAGTTCCGAGGTGACCTAATTTGCATATTTATCACCTCTGGATACCAAGTTGATCAGATTGGTTTATCGTATTGATAACATTGTCATTTATATGATAATTGTTTACCCAATATTACAAGGAATGGTGAAGAAACTTATTTTGTTTCTTGAATTGTGAGAAACTTGACACATGAAACCCTGTTCTTTAGCAATGAGACAGATCAATCTCAGTAAAATCAGATCTTAGTTCTCACTACCGCTAAACAAAGATCTGAGGACATCCCATTAGGGGTCAAGTCAGAACGACTTTTCATCTGACCAATCAGAGCGTCGCTTACCAGATCATGAAAGTGACAGTCGGAATGTGACTTCTAATCAACCTCGCAAACTTTAAAACGGGGTATTCCGAACGATAGTTACGGGCTTAACGACTGGATCGATACAATTTGGACCATATATTAGCCATTCGGGAATGTTCTTTTGTTGAATTTTCAAATTTTTCAGCGAGAATTTGTCAAAATTGTTTCGAAGCAAAGTCGCCAATTTGAAATTAGTGCCATGAAGCACGAGAAAGCTGCATTCTGATTGGCTAATGTCGACTTCTTGTCAGTAATTCCATTGGTCGGTCAGAGTTCGCGAAAGGTCGGTCTGACATGACCCGAAATGGGATGTCCTCAGATCTTTGTTTAGCAGTAGCAAGAACTAAGATCTGATTTTAATGAGATTGTGAGACAGATATATTCATGATATGGATTCATTCAATGTGGACAGGATTTGTTCCAATTTATATATAAAACCTGTTCGTGTTAGGACTTTTAAACTTTTATCAACTCAAGTAGTTATATTTGATGTCAAGCAACACTGGGGTGGGATATCTGTTTCGGCCCCCAGACGTAGAGCACAAACACAGGAGGTGTCTGTGTACAGGCTGCTGAGGGAGGTCAGACTATAACCTTGTGGCCCGATTGTCTTCAATACTGTATGGCGACTTATTCTTACGCAGAGACTTCGAGAAATATTTTGGCAAAGCTGTAAGGAATACTTGAGATACTTGAGGTATTTCTTTACTTCTTTTTCTGAAAAACACAGAGACATGCTTGAATCAGCTTGATATTGTAAACTTAAATTTTGGTGTTTCAAACCTGCGATAAGTTGACATGAAATATTCTTATATTTAGTTTGTCAGTATAAGAAAATCGTGTACATGTACTTTATATTATTTATCTATACCAAAGACAAAGACATAACTGGACGGACACAGACAAACAGACAATCAGACAAACAGATAGATGCACAGAGAATGAGGTGGAAACAATCATCCCAGATTTGGACACCATGAAACACAATCACCCACAGTGTAACTATTTAATCCAGATTTTATAATTCAGGTCATGGGACATTCATTCATCTTGTTACCTTTTTGCCCTTCTTCTTTCCTTTCTTCTTCTTCTTCAGCCCCGATCCGAGTTTGATGATTGTGTTGAATGTATCAGCGTTCATTCGATGTGTTGTTCTCATCTTAACACCACCAAGTTTCTCTGTAAACAAACCAACAACTCTTCCTAAGGCTATAAAAAAATATTAGTCTTGGTTCTCAGGCACTGCCTGCATCATCATAAAGTCACTGCACGTTTTGTTTTTATTTCCAATTAATTATTTTTTTATAAATCTTTTAATAATTTGTGTTTAAAACACACGACCTAGGCAGCGAAATGCTACAATATCTAAGAACAACATGATTTCGTCGAAATTACTGTTAACAAAATTTAGTAACATTTAAGGATTTACTGTGTATTGTTTTCTGTTCATTGAGGTATGAATCGAAAAACCGATGTGCAAACTGTATGAATCTGCGTAGTGGCGCTATAGGTCTCTACAATCTGATCCCTGATCTCAGGGTGCCACTACACATGTCTACAATCTGATCCCTGATCTCAGGGTGCCACTACACATGTCTACAATCTGATCCCTGATCTCAGGGTGCCACTACACATGCCTACAATCTGATCCCTGATCTAAGGGTGCCACCACACATGTCTACAATCTGATCTCAGGGTGCCACTACACATGTCTACAATCTGATCCCTGATCTCAGGGTGCCACTACACATGTCTACAATCTGATCCCTGATCTCAGGGTGCCACTACATATGTCTACAATCTGATACCTGATCTCAGGGTGCCACTACACATGTCTACAATCTGATCTCAGGGTGCCACTACACATGTCTACAATCTGATCCCTGATCTCAGGGTGCCACTACACATGTCTACAATCTGATCTCAGGGTGCCACTACACATGTCTACAATCTGATCCCTGTGAGATCACCTTCCTTCCTGTACATCAGTCCCTCCACGATCTCGCGACCTCCAAGGTCTCCGATGAGGTTGTCCTCGAGGTCAAGCTCTTCCAGGCAGTGGGAGCACATCAACAATCTGGAACAGAGACAAATGTAGAATCTGAGTCAGAATGTCCTTGTCTTGTAGCCATGTCAAGACCTTTTCCTTAAGGTGAAATGCTGTTTTACTCCACAGCACTGTAGCTCACCTGAATATGTAGTCAATAGGTGAAAATGTCAACAGCAACTTTACAAAAAGTGCAGTCAGTAATTCTATTGAAATATTTTCAGAAAAAAATATTGAAAAACACATTGGAAAAAGTAACTCAAAATCCATGTTTCTAAATCTGCAAGAATGAATGTACCGTTGTGGAACACTGTCCCAAACACAACAGTGATTGTATTTCACACACAGTTTCAATTCGGAACTTTTTATGTTTTCTCAGCAGAATCATGTTTCTAATGCCATACAACACTAAAATCCTGATGATTTGATTGGTTGGTTTCTTGTTTTACACCGCACTCAGTAATATTCCAGCTATATGACGGAGGTCTGTAAATAATTGAGTCTGGACCAGACAATCCAGTGATTGATATCATGAGCATCGATCCACACAATTAGGATCAATGACATGCATCAACCAAGTCAGAGAGCCTGACCACCCCATCCCGTCAGTCACCTCTTATGACAAGCATAGTCGCCTTTCACGGCAAGAATGGGTTGCTAAAGACCTATTCTACCCTGGATCTTCACAGGTCGCTGATGATTTGAAACAAAATATGATGTTATCATCAGGGAACCATATGTTCAGCTGTCTCAGTCTGCTCATCCATAGAGATCTGGTTAGAATTGGTCTTCAGGAACCAATGCTTGTCATAAAAATTGACTTTATTTGTTGTAAGAGGCGACTAACGGGATCAGAAAGTCAGGCTCTCTGACTTGTTTGATGCATGTCATCATATCCCAATTGCATAAACCAATGCTCATGATGTCAATCACTGGACTGTCTGGTCCAGACTCGATTATTTACAGACTGCGATCATGTAGCTGGAATATTGCTGAGTGCAGCGTTAAACAACAAACAAACAAAATCTGCATGAGAGAAGATATTTCAGAGCTATTTTAAATGCATTTTGAGAGAACTAAAGAGTATAACAGTACATTTTTCGCAGAACTGGCTGAACAGTGGCCATATATAGCTTTCTGAATATAACTGCCATTGCGGCCATAAAATATCAGATTCAAAACTCTTTAATAAATTCCGATGACATCAATGGTAGGGACAAGCATGTGATGTCTCAGTTTCAGCTGGCAAGAGCTTTCTGAGGAGATGATGTTTATAGGGCGAATAACTGCATTTGGAGCATGGTCAAATTGCAAAGGTTAAATAAAAGTCAAAACTTCACCCAAGCATGACTTTCAGTCAGGTGAGCTAATAACTCACTTCGCTACTTCTCTCAGTCAAGATGTTAAAAACAATACACAGATTATTTTATATACTGTAATACTTTTTGCCCAAACTACCTTCAATCTCCAGTCTAAAAAATATGGCTTTTCTTTGCAAATATTTGATGTATATCTCATCGAGCAAACTGACAAAATTGTGAATACTACTCAACTTATGACAGAGATATTTGGACAGTTCACAAAGGGACTAAATTTGACCCAATGCTTGGAGATGTTTCAAGTACAAATAGTACTGCCATGAAACTGAAGCATTGTAAGCTCATTGTTCAATTGAAGATATAATAACTATGAGTGCAAACATTTCCGTAAGTCGCCCTCTTGAGTTTCACAGGATTATGTAACATGACAAGATCCCCATCAAAGTGGAGCAGTGCATAAGACACTCACTTCCTGAAGAGCCTCATACAGATGATGGGGGCTATCTCCCGGCTCTCCCCCATGGCGTCGATGCCGTTGTCTGCAACGTGGAGCTTGTACACCCACGGCCCTACAGGGGGAGGGGCAGGCGGCTCCTTGGTCTTCTTCTTCTTCTTCCCTGTCGGAGGAGCAAAACTTGGGTGAATTAGTGAGTGAACAAGTGTGAATGGGTTAATGAGTGAGTGAATGAGTGGGAATGGGTGAGTGAGTGGGAATGGGAATGGGTGTGGGTGGGAATGGGTGAGTGAGTGGGTGGGTGGGACTGGGTGAGTGAGTGGGTGGGTGGGAATGGGTGAGTGAGTTGGTGGGAATGGGTGAGTGAGTTGGAATGGGTGGGTGAGTGGGAATGGGTGAGAGAGTGAGTGGGAATGGGTGAGTGAGTGGGAATGGTTGGGTGAGTTGGAATGGGTGAGTGAGTGGGAATGGGTGGGTGAGTTGGAATGGGTGAGTGAGTGGGAATGGGTGGGTGAGTTGGAATGGGTGAGTGAGTGGGAATGGGTGGGTGAGTTGGAATGGGTGGGGGAAGTGGAATGGGTGAGTGAGTGGGAATTGGTGGGTGAGTGAATTGGAATGTGTGGGTGAGTGATGTGGAATGGGCGAGTGAGTGAATTGGAATGGATGAGTGAGTGGGAATGTGTGGGTGAGTGAATTGGAATGGGTGAGTGAGTGAGTGAATTGGAATGGGTGAGTGAGTGAATTGGAATGGGTGAGTGAGTGAGTGAATTGGAATGGGTGAGTGAGTGAATTGGAATGGGTGAGTGAGTGGGAATGGGTGAATGAGTGAATTGGAATGGGTAAGTGAGTGAATTGTAATGGGTGAGTGAATTAGACTGGGTGAGTGAGTGGGAATGGGTGAGTGAGTGGGAATGGATGGGTGAGTTGGGTGAGAGAGTGTGTGGGTGGGAATGTGTGAGCGGGAATGGGTGAGGGAATGTGTGGGTGGTGGGTGAGTGAGTGTGTGGGTAATGGGTGAGTGAGTGAGTGTGAATGAGTGTGTGTGGGAGTGAGTGAGAATGGGTGGGAGTGAGTGAGTGGAGTTTTACGCTGCTCTAGGCAATATTCCACACTGTTTCACCATGAGGGACCACCCAAAGGAAGTTCAGGAAAACATGATTTTCAACATAATACAAAACTCCAGTGCAAATACTAAACTAACCCTTTTTCTTCTTCTTCTTGCCTGTGGGAGACTTGGCACCATCTGATTCCCCGCTCTGCTCACTGCGTGTGGTGTAACGATTCTCCTTCTCTGTAGCAGAGAACACAGACAGTTACTACCCACTTGGAAGAGACGGAACTTATTACCTGAGCTGTGAAGGTCCGTGGGTGCAACCACAAATGCTGCCACTCGATTGAATAATCAAAGTTATCAAATTTTGTGGCCAGGGGTAATAATTATCTTATTGGGACTCATCGTAAAACCTTTGTTTTCACACTTCATCAGTATACTTGTTGGATTTCACAGAAGCACTAAAGTCTATATTGACAGAATACAAAGGACTGATAAAGGAGAGCCCCAAGGGAGATAACTCCTGCCTCACCGAGCTCTGCCTTTAGTGCTTCCTCCTGTTCCTTGATGCGAGCTGCCTCGGCCTTCTGGAAGGATTCCGCCTCAGCTTGGTCCACACACAGCTTGATGAGTTCCGTCACCCCCTCACACTCAAGGTTGTTGCCGTCCAGGTACATCTCCCTACAAGTACAGGTCAGAGAGTCAGGCGCAGTCAGCCGCTGTCAGCCACAATCTGCCACATTCAACCTATGCTTGTCTCCCACAACCTACGCTTGCCCCAGCAACCTATGCTTGTCTCCTACAACCTAGGCTCATCCCCAGCAACCTATGCTTGTCCCCAGCCACCTATGCTTGTCCCCAGCCACCTATGCTTGTCTCCTACAACCTAGGCTCATCCCCAGCAACCTATGCTTGTCCCCAGCCACCTATGCTTGTCTCCTACAACCTACGCTCATCCCCAGCAACCTATGCTTGTCCCCAGCCACCTATGCTTGTCCCCAGCAACCTATGCTTGTCCCCAGCAACCTATGTTTGTAACCAGCCACCTATGCTTGTCTCCTACAACCTACGCTCATCCCCAGCAACCTATGCTTGTCCCCAGCCACCTATGCTTGTCCCCAGCAACCTATGTTTGTAACCAGCAACCTATGCTTGTCCCCAGCCACCTACGCTCATCCCCAGCAACCTATGCTTGTCCCCAGCAACCTATGCTTGTCCCCAGCAACCTATGCTTGTCCCCAGCAACCTATGTTTGTAACCAGCAACCTATGCTTGTCTCCAGCAACCTATGCTCATCCCCAGCAACCTATGCTTGTCCACAGCTACCTATGCTTGTCCCCAGCAACCTATTCTCGTCCCCAGCAACATATGCTTGTCGTACAAGTTGAAAGAGGGGACAAACTGATTCTATAGTGTTCATAAGTTTATAGAGTTTATAATATGAATGCTTCCAGCACAACCTGATTTTACACTCAGTAGGAACTCCAAATCAGAAACTTCCAAGCCCCCTTTGTACTTGACTTGGTGCTGGGTAGGGCAGTAGTTTCTGATCATCAATTGTGTACACAGTCAGTCTGTTAGACCAAAGACTGGTGGACAATTAAATATGGTGCAGTTTACTCACCTCACAGCTGTGGTAGAGAGGATATGCCCAAGATAGCGCCCACTCTCCTTTCCCAGATCACAGTAGCACAGACTGAGTGACAACATTGTGACATTCCCATCCAGACCTCGACACAAATACTGACAACCCTCATCACCAAACTCGTTGTAGTCAAGATTCAAAATAGTCAATGTGTCACATGCTCGGAAGATTCTGAAAAGCAAGAAAAATGAACCTATCAGCAGCTGACTCATGAGGCTTTTGGTCCTGTCCAACACATTTTTATTATTATGAACATTACACAATTTGTTAAAAAGACATACAAGAGAAGAGATAACAAAAAATGGTCTTAGTAATATTTTAAAGTTTCTTAATGTAATATTTCTTGTGAAAGTGGTATGGGTGTGTTATTATTGTATTTTGTAGGGGATTCCGGGATAGATTAAGACAAAGTATTTTAGTGCTTACCTTGAAAATCTGTTGATGGAGTTGGCCTCCAGTAGACAGTCCATCATCTCCAACTGTCTCACCAGGTACGCCGGTTTCTCCATCAGCAGGGACTGCAACACACACACTATCATCACAGCTTGCATAGACACCATCACACACACACTATCATCACAGCTTGCATAGACACCATCACACACACACTATCATCACAGCTTGCATAGACACCATCACACACACACTATCACCACAGCTTGCATAGACACCCACACCATCACACACACACTATCACCACAGCTTGCATAGACACCATCACACACGCACTATCATCACAGCTTGCATAGACACCATCACACACACACTATCACCACAGCTTGCATAGACACCCACACCATCACACACGCACTATCATCACAGCTTGCATAGACACCATCACACACACACTATCACCACAGCTTGCATAGACACCCACACCATCACACACACACTATCACCACAGCTTGCATAGACACCATCACACACACACTATCATCACAGCTTGCATAGACACCATCACACACACACTATCACCACAGCTTGCATAGACACCATCACACACACACTATCATCACAGCTTGCATAGACACCATCACACACACACTATCATCACAGCTTGCATAGACACCATCACACACACACTATCATCACAGCTTGCATAGACACCATCACACACACACACTATCACCACAGCTTGCATAGACACCATCACACACACACTATCATCACAGCTTGCATAGACACCATCACATACACACTATAATCACAGCTTGCATAGACACCATCACACACACACTATCATCACAGTTTGCATAGACACCCACACCATCACACACACACTATCATCACAGTTTGCATAGACACCCACACCATCACACACACACTATCATCACAGTTTGCATAGACACCCACACCATCACACACACACTATCACCACAGCTTGCATAGACACCCACACTATCACACACACACTATCACCACAGCTTGCATAGACACCCACACCATCACATCCATTCTCCACACCATAACAGGGCCTATTTCCACACAAGCACATCCATTCTCCACACCATAACAGGGTCTATATCCACACCAGCACATCCATTCCCCACACAATAACAGGGTCTATATCCACACCAGCACATCCATTCTCCACACCATAACAGTGTCTATATCCACACCAGCACATCCATTCTCCACACCATAACATGGCCTATACCCACACCATTACATCCATTCTCCACACCATAACAGTGTCTATATCCACACCAGCACATCCATTCTCCACACCATAACAGTGTCTATATCCACACCAGCACATCCATTCTCCACACCATAACATGGCCTATACCCACACCATTACATCCATTCTCCACACCATAACAGTGTCTATATCCACACCAGCACATCCATTCTCCACACCATAACAGGGTCTATATCAATACCCTCACATCTGGAAGTCCCTTGGTTACACTCAATGACAACCTCTAAATGTTCAGCAACCTTTGCATACACCAGTTTTGGCTATGTTGTCGGGAAGCCTTTCAGCACCACTCAATGACAACCTCTAAATGTCCAGCAAACTATGCACATACCATAGTGTCCATGTTATCTGGAAACCTCTCAGCACCACTCAATGACAACCTCTAAATGTCCAGCAAACTATGCACATACCAGTGTGTCCATGTTATCTGGAAACCTCTCAGCACCACTCAATGACAACCTCTAAATGTCCAGCAAACTATGCACATACCAGTGTGGTCATGTTGTCGGGAAGCCTCTCAGTACCACTCAATGACAACCTCTAAATGTCCAGCAAACTATGCACATTCCATTTTGGCCATGTTATCCTGAAACCTCTAAGTACCACTCAATGACAACCTCTAAATGTCCAGCAAACTATGCACATACCAGTGTGGCCATGTTGTCGGGAAGCCTCTCAGTACCACTCAATGACAACCTCTAAATGTCCAGCAAACTATGCACATACCAGTGTGGCCATGTTGTTGGGAAGCCTCTCAGTACCACTCAATGACAACCTCTAAATGTCCAGCAAACTATGCACATACCAGTGTGGCCATGTTGTCGGGAAACCTCTCAGTACCACTCAATGACAACCTCTAATTGTCCAGCAAACTATGCACATACCAGTGTGGCCATGTTGTCGGGAAGCCTTTCAGTAGCACTCAATGACAACCTCTAAATGTCCAGCAAACTATGCACATTCCATTTTGGCCATGTTATCTGGAAACCTCTCAGTACCACTCAATGACAATCTCTAAATATCCAGCAAACTATGCACAAACCATTTTGGCCATGTTGTCGGGAAGCCTCTCAGTACCACTCAATGACAACCTCTAAATGTCCAGCAAACTATGCACATACCAGTGTGGCCATGTCTGGAAGCCTTTCAGTACCACTCAATGACAACCTTTAAATGTTCATCAAACTATGCACATACCAGCGTGGCCACATTCTCGTAAGACATGGGGTAGTCCCAGATGTGGAGGTCCTTGATGAGGATGTAGCGCTCCTGTCTGATTGACGCCAGGAACGGCTCCAGCAGCACCGGCAGGTCCCCCTCTTGCTCCTGTGGCACTGACTCCAAGATGAACTGTTGACAACAACAACAACATTTGAAGGAACTTCAGGCAAATATACACTGGTTGGTCATATGGGGGCACCTATTAAAACCATAAACAGAGAGTTTATTCTGTTGTCAGAGATCGAGCAGAAGTAAACAGTGAACTACAAGCAATGTTTGCTCAGTTTTTAAACCTTGTACATTTTATTAACATCCTTAATGAGGTGGTACTTAATATTGATGTCTCATATAAGAAACAAACTATTCGTGGTTATTTCTTAACGTACAATAAAACACTGCAGGGAGAATAAACCACTCAGGGCTGCGCCCCTCATGTGCCCCAAGTGGTTTATTCTCCCTGTATTATTATCAACAATAAACAACTTGGAGCGTTGCTCACGATATCAATCACAGGATTGTCTGGTCCAGACTCGATTATTTACAGGCCGCCACCATATACACTACATCGCGCATTCAGACACTAGATGCCGGGATCATAAAGAATTTCAAGCTTTATTATAAGAAACAGCAAATGAAATTACACCTCGACAATGTTGATGCATTTACACGAGGAAATGTGTGTCGTTGATGTGATAAATTTAGTGAGTAATGTCTCTATTGTTATGTATAAATGGGAAAATTATTATTATTTTTGCAATGTCATTAATTATAAATTAAGTAATGAATGAATACACAACATAACAATATAAATATTTCGTTTTTAATGATTTTATTACAAGGTACACATGGTTATTATCTATCGTGAAGACGTCCGATTTTCGATCACAAATCACTTAATTTTGTTAATCCGACATACTCGTTAATCCGACACAATCATGTGCAACCAACGATGTCGGATTAACGAGACTTATATTGCTGGAATATTGCTGAGTACAGTCAAGTCTCGTTAATCCGACACTCGTTAATCCGACACTCGGCTTTATCCGACACAAATGATGGGAACCGATTGATTCAGTGCTATTTAGTCCCGTTAATCCGACATTCTCGCACTCCGACTCCGACACACCTAATTTGCAACGAATTGCCGAAATCACTCATTAATCAGTCTCGTTAATCCGACACAGTGATCAGCGTACTCCGTGTTCATCTGACCGCGAGTACACAACCCCGTGTTTTGACACGCACTGACAGACTATTTTAAGTAGATGAAGCAAGTTGTTAAGACAGTAGCACTTGCATTTACACGAGGAAACGTGTGTCGTTGATCATGTGATAAATTCAGTGAGTAATGTCTCTTTTGTTATGTATAAATGGGAAAATTATTATTATTTTTGCATAGTCATTAATTATAAATTAAGGGATGAATAAACAACATAACAATATTAATATTTCGTTTTTAATGATTTTATTACAAGGTACACACGGTTATTATCTATCGTGAAGACGTCCGATTTTCGATCACAAATCACTTAATTTCGTTAATCCGACATACTCGTTAATCCGACACAATCATGTGCAACCAACGATGTCGGATTAACGAGACTTATATTGCTGGAATATTGCTGAGTACAGTCAAGTCTCGTTAATCCGACACTCGTTAATCCGACACAATCATGTGCAACCAACGATGTCGGATTAACGAGACTTATATTGCTGGAATATTGCTGAGTACAGTCAAGTCTCGTTAATCCGACACTCGTTAATCCGACACAATCATGTGCAACCAACGATGTCGGATTAACGAGACTTATATTGCTGGAATATTGCTGAGTACAGTCAAGTCTCGTTAATCCGACACTCGTTAATCCGACACAATCATGTGCAACCAACGATGTCGGATTAACGAGACTTGACTGTATAAACAAACAAATAAAACTGACCCTGGTGAGCAGCTTCTCCCCCTCCATGGCCGCCTTGATGGCAGCCTTGACCCCCGGGCACATCTGCGAGTCTGTCAGGGCACAGTTCCGCTCGTAGCACTTGAGAAGCTTCTTCATGACCACATCATCTGTCTCGCTCAGGCGACTCCGCCCTTTCTTTCCCTTCTTTCCCTTGTCTTTTCCTTTCCCCTTCCCTTTACCTTTCTTGGGCATCTGAAATTAACATTAGGGCACAAATTAATCATTAGCTTTTCACTCAAATGTTCAAAAACCATGAACTTGGAGGCATTGTATTTTTCATATTTCATTTTTTTAAACAAACTGATCAAGGAATCAATGTACTGATGCATGAGTGAGAGCTAAACCTTTTCAACCTTAGATACAGGAAGGCAAGTGTGTGAAAAAGCCTCAAATTATTGCTGGCCAGGGCTAGGTAACCGTTGTTAAAAGTTCCAAGCCAGTTTTAAAGTTCATTGGCTTAATTATACCACAGTATATTTTCCCAGAAATTTGATTCTGCGAGGTTTCAATAAATTAAACCCAAATTGCAAATCATGAGTCAATCATCATGTTTCAATCTAGTGACAATTTGATTTTCGATAGTCATATTGATCTACAGAAATGGCAGAACTTTTATATTTTGATCAACTGAGAGATGTGCAAAATTAAGGTTACATTTTTACTAGCCATTTGGGCTATGGACATTTCAGAATGTTTTGCCCGACAGACATTTTGCTTGTCATGGGCTAGCGGGAAGGCGGCTATTTTGCACATTGTCTATCCCACTAGTCTGAATCAGAATTCATGTGAATGGTAGCCAAAGGGCTCAATCTCATTAAAATCAGATCTTAGTTCTCGCTATCGCTAAACAAAGATCTGAGGACATCCCATTACGGGTCACGTCAGAACGACCTTTCATCCGACCAATCAAAGCATCGCTTACCACATCATGAAAGTGACAGTCGGAATGTATTTTCTAATCATGCAGCCTCGAAAACATTAACACGGGGTATTCCGAACGACAGTTACGGCCCGTACGACTGATTCCGTCAAAATTATCATCTATCTCTCGGTTCCGTGGGATAAACATTTCAACGGAGGACGCATTGCACATTTCGTAGGAAGCACTGCCACATTCTCAACCATATATCAGACATTCCGGAATGTTTGTTTGTTCAGTTTTCAAAATATTAATCGAGAACTGTGTCAATATATTTTTCAAATGTAGACAGAAATGGAATTCGCTAGGTTGAAACGAGTGTCGTAAAGCTCGAGAAAGCTGCTTTCTAATAATATTTAAGGAAATGCACATCCAAATGTTTTGTTAATTTAATGAATTATTATGATCCAGCTATAGTAGAAAACTTGCTAAAATTCCGTAAAGCTTCACTTGTGAGGAGAGCATGTTATCATTAATTACTCTACACTATGTTATCATTGAATATATAAGTATGATGAACCGCCATCACCTTGATGGAAAATTTGTATTTTTGTATACTTTGTATATGGGCCTGAGGCCTCGAGTACAAATAAACAGATTGATTGATAATTGGCTGATGTCGACTTGGCTGATGTCATTTCAGTCGTAAGTCAAAGTTCGCGAAAGGTCGTTCTGACGTGACCCATAATGGGATGTCCTCAGATCTTTGTTTAGCGGCAGCGAGAACATAGATCTGATTTTAATGAGATTGCCAAAGGGCTAGGAGTATTTCAGTTTGGTATGTTTGGGGGAAGCTGTTCTTATATACAGTAAACTACGGTTATAACGAACACGCTTATAACAAACTGACGGATATAACGAACTTACTTTTTTGGTCCCGACTATTTGCTGTAGTTATGCTGTATATATGCTTATAACGAACTACGGTTATAACGAACTAAAATTAGAAGTCCCTTTGAGTTCGTTATAACCGTAGTTTACTGTATATCATTATCAGTGTCACTATCACTATCACTATTAGTGCAAGTAATCTTTCGAAATAATTTCTGCTGCTGAGATATAACAGTGTTCATAATTAAGCCTGTGAAGTGGGGTCGAAACAACCCCAATACAAAAGCTATACATCCATAGTTACCATGGTTACAACACAAGACTATGTCCTGTGTACCCTTAAAGGTGGAATACTGCTGAGTGTGGCATAAAACAACAAACGAAACCAATTCAACTCAACCATCATTTATATTTGGTTTACAGATCCTCCAACCCAAAATACTGAGGAAAAGGTAAAAACGAATAAATATAAAAATTTTCATCAGCTGATCTTTTTAAAATATCCAATGCAGATCCAAAAACATTTCATATTAAAACAAAAAAATATATATTTCTAGAATCTTGCAATGAAGTGATGAGATGACTTTGCCATCAAAACTTGCTACTTTGCAGAAGGAATGGCTTCTGCAATGATCTATGTGACAATACAGTGTTGACAGCAACTTCAAACACATCTACCTTTCTGTGTAATGACAGAAAAAAAATTCCCTCCAAACTAAAAATAATAATAAAAATAAACAGCATGAACAGTGCTTTGTACAGATATACCTAGATGATAATAAATAACTATATCATTAAAACGTATTTCTTTAATTTATATTTGAATATGAAATAACATAAATTTAATCAAATTGATCTTGCACACTCTTATGCATTGCTTTGCCTGTTAAAACTTACAGGAATTTCTGTCTAGTGGTTTCTGTTTAAATGTACTAAAGTGGCCAAGTGTGCGTTCAGTTTTATTTTGGCTGGGAGAACTTGATTTGGATTTTTGTTTCATACTAAGATGTTTAGATAGTGGGCTGGTTGAACTTCCTGTATATTTTAGCTGTATGCCCTATACACAGCATTTTGTTTCTTTTTAGTCGTATCTAGGGCTGCAACTAATACATTATGAGGCGAATACGAATAGAAACCATCCACCATGCCCATACCCAGTGATTAATTGATTTGACATTAATTTTATTGAAACATGTTAATTTGGATCAAAATGTATGAAACTTATTCTTGCAACAGTAAAATAATACTGACAACGGGACAACATTGGGTCATCTGCAGTAGACAATGGTAGGCCTAGGATTATCGACATTCACTTTCATTGCACTAATGTATGAGTTGTTGTATGATTAATAGCATTAATAAACAAACACGGCGACGACGACTGACAACAGCAGAAAAGAAATAGAAGGCATTGAAATTCACAGGGTGTGGGGAGGTGGCTGTAGGGAACGGACGGCTGTATCACTTCATTCGCTGGTGACACATCAGGATTTTCTAATAGGTCCTTTGTCGTATCACATGTCAGTGGTCAGGTAATTCCGCAGGCTTGTAGATATAGCTGAAACCATGTCGTCATATATTCATTTAAACACTGACATTCATTAACTGTTGCTAACCTTTAATTAATCGTGTAGGGTACAGGAATGATGCAGAACACCTGATGTCAAGAACAGAACTCGTTCGGTGCGGACGGTATAGCCATCCAAGTTTGTTGTCTGTTGTCAAAGAAGATTATGCCCTTCGCTTCAGGAGAGTGCGATAGGGGAGGAAACCGACAAGAAAGAGTTCCCTGCCCTTAGACGAGCTCCTCGCAGCGATTAATCGTTCGCGGAGTTCTCTGTAATTTCGCTGTCACCAGTCAATGATCCCCACGGAGCAATGGAGCTCAATACTCACTTTCAATCTTTAAATGATGATTGTTTTAAAAGATTTTCATTTCACAGACTTTACAATGCCTACATTCAGTTTGCTTTGAGAATGATTAGATGATTACAAGAGATAAAAAAAATTTGTTATAATTTCATTCGACCTAGCCTTTTGTTTCTAGAGCTAGATCTATATTCTAAATTGAAGTTTCAAATTCCCACATAAACAAAATAATCATATCATTCTTTTTTCTTTTTAATCATCAGATACCTGCATTGCACAATAAATGTCATAATTTATTTGTAACATATTTCATAAAACTTGAATGACTTTTGAGCAGTCATTTTTTCAGAATAATCAGTTATATGTTTAAAAAACAAATATACATGTATATGTAACTGAAGTATTTATACATCTACATGGAATGATTTTGGGGATAAATTTGCACTTTTTACAAAATCAAATTTGCTGTATAACATCCAATACATAGACTTAATACAACAGTTCTCTTGAAATACTGTTGAATTTTAAATGCATGGTTATCAGGATTTTGTAAGGAACAGATACATGAATTAACACCTGTGATGTCTCATAGCACTAAATGATGGGCACATTCTATATTTTTTATGATTTGTGATTTATTTATAATATCCCTCCCTTTGTAAGGAACAGAGGAAATGTTTTATTTCAAAGTATGATGACTGTTATGTATACTGGAACTGTTTGGTTGACAGATGCATGGTAGATTTGTATTTGGTATATATCTTATGGTCACAATTAAACAAACCCGTGAAGATTCCGGGGTAGAATAGGTCTTCAGCAACCCATGCTTGCCGTAAAAGGTGACTATGCTTGTGGTAAAAGGCGACTAACGGGATCGGGTGGTCAGGCTCGCTGACTTGGTTGATGCATGTCATCGGTCCCAATTGCGTGGATCGATGCTCATGATAATAATCACTGGATTGTCTGGTCCAGACTCGATTATTTAAAGACCGCTGTCATATAGCTGGAATATTGCTGAGTGCGGCGTTAAACAACAAACCAAACCAAACCACAATTAAAGAAAACTGAAATCAGATGTAAGTACAAATTTTGACATAAAAGCAACATTTAAAATAAGTTGTTTTATTCTGCATGTTATATCTACTTCAATTATCAGTAAAGGAATGGATAATAATTATAGATCCGTGGCAAACACCTGTTGAAGGATGTCCATGAACTGCAAATGTTGGTGTAACACCAATTTTACGTATTTATTACGAGTCCAAGGTAGAAAGAAAACTATTTGTAGACTTGAATTGAAGCCTGTTTTTTTGCTGACATAGAAAATACAGTTGCAATACATTTTTTCACAGTGTTTTTCCATGTTATCTTTTAAGCAACCCATGCTTGCCGTTAGAGGCGACTATGCTTGTCCTTAAGAGGCTACTAACAGGATTGGTTGGTCAGTCTCTCTGACTTTGTTGATGCATGTCACCATATTCTAATTGCGTGGATCGATGCTCATGATGTCAATCACTGGATTTTCCATAATTATCCTTTTTCAATACCAAAGTAAAAGAAAACATAATACTACTATCTATGAAGCTTTTATTCATAAAAATAACAATAAAATTAACTCATAAAATTCACTGGGTGTACAAAATGTATGAATATCAGATAGATACTTGAATAGTTCTTGTCATTTCCTCCACGCTCTTCACACAATGTGTTCTTCTGACTGACATTCATTTCATAAACATTTTCAGTTGCATTGAATATCAGTGTATGAGGAATGAGATATAAAAGAGTTCAATTAAACACAACGTAAATTACGTAAAATGATACATAATGAATAGTGCTAAGGCAGTGTTCAAAATGAAGCTTAGTCCCAGACCAACTGAACACTTCTGGAGTTGTGAAGTTACTTTATTATGTTCCATTATTTGGCCAATGCCAAATATTTTCATTTTATGAAGAAACTTACACTTAATTTTGTACATTTTCAACAACTCTAACATGCCATATTTCTTTAAAAAAATTAAACTATCTGTAATTTTATTACATTTTTATTTTTATTAATTTCGCTTCTTATCATGTTTACATAGAAAATATTAATAACAACACCATATTTTATTCCTGCAATACCATGCCTACATGACCAGACTTCTGTTTCAAGACAAAAATGCAAAGTTCTGTCTCTTGTAAGACATTAAACAAGTCATCCTAAGTGTGTATGAGGTCTGCCTGTGCATGGTATTTGTACTTCAGGTTTCAGTCAGCTATTACTCAGATCAGCAGCTACACAATGGCAGTCGAAGACTATCTGAAAGAAAATAAACAAAAAATTATATAATTATTGATTAATGAACCGACCTATGTTCTTTTTATATCTTTGGTTTAAGAGATTTGTCAAGCCCTTGCAATGGCGGTAATTTGATCAATGTTATTTTTTCCTTTTGTTATGAGGTTACTATATTACTAGTGGTATGCAAGAACGGCAAGAAGAATAATGCCCCTTTGTAAACACACTGTTTGTTCCACACTGTAGAATGTATAATCAATTATCCTTTGTTACAGGCATGTACATATATTTTTCTTGATTGTGATGTGATGTACATGTGTCAGATGGTTTCATGGTAATGCCAGTTAGGCTGGGTGGTCAGCTCCTGTTTACCTAAACTAAAAGTGGTAAGCTCTCGGCACATATCAACAGTGGAACCAGTTTAGGTCAGTTGTGACTCGACCATGAGTGTTTGTTTGTTTGTTGTTTAACGCCGCACTCAGCAATAATCCAGTTATATGACTGCGGTCTGTAAATAATCGCGTCTGGACCAGACAATCCAGTGATTGACATCATGAGCATAGATTTATGCAATTGGGATACGAAGATAAGTTTGTGAGTCGCCAAGTTCGATCCTGTTAGTCGCCTCTTACAATAGACATTCGACATTTATGGCAAGTATGGGTTGCTGAAGACATACTCTACCCCCAATTAAAGTCACATCGTTTTTTAACTAAAATCATTGTGTTGTGATTATTCATTAATGATGCAAGAGTGGGTGTAACACAATGATACAACTGACCTTTTCTTATCCAAGAAACTCTTTCAGGATTTCTGGTACCTGGGGCTCGACGTATTCCCTGAAAACGACATTGCTGCCATCATCTGCCCCCTTCATCATGCATGACGGTCCTGGAGACATAAAACACCCCATGTACTAAAAAAAACCAGCACTTGAACTAAAGCAGGACTTAACTAAACCAGCATTTAACTAAAGCAGGACTTAACTAAACCAGCATTTAACTAAAGCAGGACTTAACTAAACCAGCATTGAACTAAAGCAGGACTTAACTAAACCAGCATTGAACTAAAGCAGGACTTAACTAAACCAGCATTGAACTAAAGCAGGACTTAACTAAACCAGCACTGAACTAAAGCAGGACTTAACTAAACCAGCATTGAACTAAAGCAGGACTTAACTAAACCAGCACTGAACTAAAGCAGGACTTAACTAAACCAGCATTGAACTAAAGCAGGACTTAACTAAACCAGCATTTAACTAAAGCAGGACTTAACTTAGACGGGGGCACGGGTGGCCCAGTCGTCGAAGGCGCCGCGATTCGCTGTGCAGAGTTGCGTCCCTTAGACACGCCAGAAACCTATGATTGTGGGTTCGAATCCCGGTTCGCCCCGATTATGTTTCTAGGTTTGTCAGCACCATACCCGTGCCTCGTGCGTTTCACCGAAGTGGTAAACGTCTGAGACCTGCATCACTTCGAGCTTTCCTCCCACATTAAGCTGACACGCCGTGATATAACTGGAATACTGTTAAAAGCGGCGTTAAATCCAACTCACTCACACTCACTTAACTTAGACTAATACTCAGTCAACAAAAACATGTCTTTAAACTAATCAAATTTTTTTTTTAAAGAACCTTTCCTCTTCTGCTGTGGAATCAAGCAAACTAGACTTGGTTTGTTTGATCTAGACTTGCCTAGGTAATAGTAAAAAAATATACCTAAAAAATATATATTCCAGAGTCATGGCACAGGACTAGACTTAACTAAACTAGCACTTGTATCTTCCTGTGGAGCGAGTAAGGGGAGATAACTTACAGTCTTCTGTGGCTCAGGTGTTTCTAGTTTCTCTTCATTCCACACTTCTACTTCTTTCTTTGTTTGTTTGTTGTTTTACACCGCACTCAGCAATATTCCAGCTATATGACAGCGGTCTGTAAATAATTGAGCCTAGACCAGACAATCCAGTGATTGATATCATGAGCATTGATCCACGCAATTGGGATCGATGCCATTCATCAACCATGTCAGCGAGCCTGACCACCCAATCCCGTCAGTCTCCTTTTACGACAAGCATAGTCGCCTTTTACAGCAGGCATGGGTTGCTGAAGACCTATTCTACTCCGGAATCTTCACAGGTCACTTCTACTTCTACACAGAATACTACTACTATCTCAACTTTGATGACTACTACTACTGTTGTGTGTATATAGCACGGTATAACCAACATACTTTTCCCAGAATCTGGACGGAAAAGCAGCAGAATTGGCTTCTTCATGGCCACAGCTCTTCCGACCTCATAGCCGACTCCATGTGAGGGTTGGGTAACCTCTGCCACCACGGCTAACAAAGAAAATTAAATCAAATCAAAATTAGACCAAACCTATTTGTTATGTTTCTTTTCTAATTTTATATTTCTTGATAATTATGAAAAGAGGCAAAACACAAATATATATTTTTTTTAAATGTTGCAAAAGAATAGTTGCCAAAAGCTTTCTTTTGTTTTTCCTCCCAAGTCAGTAGAGAGGAGGAGTGAGTGAGTGAATATAGTTTTACGCCGCTTTTAGCAATATTCCAGCAATATCACGGCGGGGGACACCAGAAATGGGCTTCAAACATTGTACCCATGTCGGGAATCGAACCCGGGTCTTCGGCGTGACGAGCGAACGCTTTAACCACTAGGCTACCCGACCGCCCCAGTAGAGAGGAGGAGGACATACCATCACATTCTTCCAGCCAGGCAACATCGCGATCATGGATTTCTTTGGCACTGTTGTTTGCCTCCACTGAAACACACAACATATGTTATTTCAAGAAGGACCATAATGACGATGAAAACAAGATGATGATGATGATGATGATGATGAATTGTTTGTTAGGCATTACTTAGAAGTTGACGGATGACAAAGTAGACACAATTAATGGATAATAACTTCTTTAATACTGTAAAGGCAATGTTTCGGTATAGATCCTAATACATAGATCCTTGTCAAGCAAGACTAAATGAGGAGCATTGTACACAGAATATATATATAGTAGGTGGAGGATTTACAGTAGAGGATGATGATGATGATGATGATGATGATGATGATGATGATGATGCTTGTAATACACAGGATTTCACATTGGTTCCTACATCGCTCAAGTACATAAGGCCAGTTTTAAAATATTCTTGTTTCTCATGACATTTTTCAAAACTGGTTCGGAGGATTTTACAGAGCTACATATAACTGCTTTTTTACTTTCAATAACTTTCAATTATCTTGCGTACAGAAACGCGTGCATTAAATGAAAAACTCAAATGTATAAAAACAGCACACGTAAATACCCAATGAAGCTTTCTAAGCATGTGTACAATGGAGCTAATTTCTGAAACACAATTATGAGCTAATTTACTTTCCGAGTCAAGCCTATATATTTATAACCGTTATATACATCTAAAACATAATTTCATTTTTTTTAAATCTTAAAATGTTCACTAATTTTGGGAAAACCCCAATAGAGTGATAAATGGATGAGTGAAAAAATATTGGTTACCCAATGAAAAATGGGATAACCCAATTAAAATAGAAACCCAAGAGTAAAAGCTCAATTGCTCAAAAAGTTGTCTGGAACTCTGATTTTACTTTTAAGTTGTATTTCTATATTAGGTTACAAATTCATAAGAGTAAACTTTATTCAAATGTACCGTGTGACTTCTCTTAAGACATTGCCTCCTGCATCTCAAAGTCAGAAACTGGCGCAAAGAAAATGGAATTTCAGTTGAAAAAGTTGTTTCTTAACTGTGCTTAATAATATAAACAAAATTTGTTTTCAAAATTGGGGACAGGCATGTCATGAAAATCAAGAAATAAATTTCAACAGACACAAACTATACCAATGTGCATTTTGATTTTTAAATTCATTCTTATAAACTGTTAACCTTCTACCACTTCACAGGCAGCAGAGGTTCATACTCCCCAGGGACCTGAGAATGAAAATCTGTTAGTACTGCACACTGATCCATTGACAGGGTAATAATGTAACACTTTGATCCTACTCGAGGGTGTTGATTGGTGCATTATTTATATGCACATTATTACTATATTACAAGGGGCGCTGGTGGCCCAGTTGTCTAAGGCGCTGCGATTCGCTGTGCAGAGTTGTGTCCCTTGGGCACGCCAGAAACTTATGATTTTGGGGTTCGAATCCCGGTTTGCCCCGATAATGTTTCTAGATTTGTCAGCACCGTGCTCGTGGGTTTCACCGAAGTGGTAAACGTCAGAGGCCTGGAATAACTGGAATACTGTTAAAGGCGGCGTTAAACCCAACTCAGTCAATAACTCATACTATTATATTACAGTTATCGCCCTTGGGAGTATACAGCTAAATGTACCATGCCTTCACATGTTCTGTCTTTTGTACTGTTATGTTACAATTCATTCTTGATTAATCATTTTGAATTTTTTCCATTAAAAGGAGACTGTTTCATGGACAATGCTCCCATCGTTTGCCTTGGTCTTGAAGGTAATCAATACCATGTGTGAAACTTTTTTCATACAATTTGAACTAAAAGACCCAGAAACTATTTGAGGGATGTGACATTTGTTAGCACTGGCATTTAGCCAGGCCTATTCCCCGTTAATACTTACACTGTAGGACATTCTTCTTTCCCACATGATCAGTGAGCACAGGGCCGTAGGCCCTGAGTTGGGTGATGATGCGACCGTAGAGGTCCACATCCTGCTGTCCCCCACTGATGCTGCCACAGAAGTAGATCTTCTTGCTCATCTCTCTATAACAATGACATATAGTATATATATGTATAGTGCAACCATCAGGGACAAGTCATTTTGTGTGGAAGGTATAGTCTATAGAACACAAACATTGCTTCCAAAATATTTGCCCTCTTTAAGTGTTTGTCAGTGCTAGTTATTTTAATAATCATCCCACATCTGCAGGGGTGTAGCTAGGGGAAAATAAGATGTATGATGGTGGCACGTGGTCCTGTGCACAGCGCACAGATCACGAATCAGGTGAAGTTAAGCAACGTCGGTCTCGGAGAGTAGTTGGATGGGTGAGCCCGTTCAGCAGCTTGACTCCTGAGAGTTTCTAGGGCTTCGGTCCTGCCCCACACTGAAGCACATGTACCACATGTGGTGTCTCCTTAGGCAAGTGACTTTGTTCGAAATGTGCCTCTGTTCACCCAGCAGTGAGTGGGTACCCGGTAGGATGAGATGGTAATGTGGCTGTTAACCTTCTAGCGCCTCACAGGCAGCGTGGGTTGTATACTCCCCAGGGAGCTGAGAATGAAAACGAGTGCTCACTGATCCATTAACCGGGGTAATAATAGTGTAGCGCTATGAGAATCCACTCGGTGAATAGAATTTGGCGCATTATAAATGCACTTGTTATTTATTGTTATTATAATCATTTATTGCAGTACTTATTGTGCTTAAACACTCATAACGCTTATCAAACACAAGCAGGCCAGTGCAACATATCTATTACAGAGATATCAAGAAATATCCTTACCACCTTCTGCACATTACTTATTTCAAGTATCTAACAGTTTGATTATTGTGATCAAACCCACATATCATATAATATAAATTGTTAATGCAAGAGAATAACCACTCTAGATTGTCCACCGAAACAGATTCCATTTGGCATAATGGCAAAATAGCTGTGAAAATTAAATGAATTGACCACAGAAAATCAGTTATAACACCAGGTGTTTGCAAAGGGTAAAAGAAATGTAACAAGCAAACAACATTGAACCAATTCATCAACGACAATTTTGACACTGGTAAGCAGGTCAACCTGTAAATTAACAAAAGATCATGAAACTATAACAAACGACTGAAAGGAATACACAAAAGTTTTGTTTTTTTTTACTTATTTATTTTATACTTGTAACGACTTCAAATTGTGCAATGTGGTAGCTACGCCACTGATCTGCACAGATAGGAAAAGTAAAACAATTTGTATCAATGTTAGACTTGCATTTTGTCTCTGAATGAGAATATTTTAAAAACAGTTTTACACTGTCCCCATAATATCTCACTTTTAATACCTCACTTGCTCCATATATTTGAACCACTCTGAAGTGCTGCAATCATGACATATATAATAAGAATACATGCTATATTGATGAAAACGTTGTGGGTGCCGTTTAGGGCCAGGACAGATGACTCGGTACCGGGTTGGGTGGTTCCTGAGTAGGACCCAGATACCCACAGGACTACCTGGAGCGGTTAGTCACTTGATATATTGTTTGATGGCAAAAATTATCTAGAACTTCCATGGTTACACTATAAGTGACTTATGTTCTCATTTTTTTCGGACTATGCACCCATTGATTCTGACTTACATATGTTTGAATAGAGATAAAGCTTCAGTCAACTTCAATGTATGTGTGACCAGATCGTTTGCTATGAGTATCTAAATACATTTTGCCAGGGCTACGGTCAAACTATTCACAACCGGACATTTGTGCCTATCTCTTGACATCAACATCGGGTACCTGGGTAGGGTCGGGTAATAGTGGGGTGGATACCCGGGTAGTAAATTTGGACTCGTCCCAGCCCAAGTGCCGTTGTACAAAACAACATTAGCGCTACGACTGTCGTAAGTCTGGAGTTACCATCACCTTAGCGTCAACATCGCTTTTTACAACGGCACTGTGGAGCTTAACTATACATTGTTATAATGACGTCATACTAGCTGCTATTCTGCCAACGAAAATTACCTCACAATGTCTCGACAAGGGTGTGATATAAAATGTTTATCTGCTGATAAACCAGTGGTATTTCACATCATACGAAAACGTGTTTTGTTTGAACATGTCAGAAAATCAATATTGAATATTGTTTTAAGGAACTACTCATGATATCATTTGCGTTGTTATGAGGAAACATAGCGACATGCGTTGTCATGCTTCGACACCATATGAAACACATCCACCAAGTACTGCGATATATTGCCAAGCAACACAGAAGCCTAGCATAACCAGCTGATAACCATCGTATTTTCCATTTTGTACGAACAAACCTGAGATCGCATGTTTCTAGATCTAAACGCAATGCTTTTCTCATTACTTACAAAAATGGTATTTCTGCTTAAGATGTTTTCAACCAAGTACACAATCACCCACGCAGATTGAGGTCTATTTACGCATCGTCTATAGTCAACGAAGCGAAACACTAATACCCACGTGTTTCTCAGCTCGCGCCAGATTGTTTACAAGGTCAAGGCCGGGCTGATCAAATCAGGGCGCGTCAGCAACAGATCGATGGTTTACGTGCGGCGAGTGATTGAGTGTGGTTTTACGCCGCTTTTAGCAATAATCCAGCAGTATCACGGCGGGGGACACCAGAAATGGGCTTCACACGCTGTGCTCATGTTAACGTGCAGCGACCGGTACAAATGTATATGTGTGTGTGTCCTCGGAGTGACAGTGTCCACTGACATGATCATATTAACATGGTTGTATGTTTTGTGTGTTGTTTAACGCCGCACCCAGCAATATTCCAGCTATATGACTGTAAATAATCGAGTCTGAACCAGACAATCCAGTGATTGACACCATGAGCATCGATCGACTCAATTGAGATACGATGACATGCATCAACCAAGTCAGCGAGCCTGACCACCCGATCCAATTAGTCGCCTTTCAGCAAGCATGGGTTGCTGAAGACCTATTCCCGCATCTTCACGGGTCTGGTTTTATTTTTAAAATATAGGTATGCAGTCACGTGCAATACATTCTGCTCTATTTATAAGCGCAAATTACAAGCGAGTTTATAGGTACTCCCTGAAACATCGGTCGTTGTTCTGTACATATTCCCCCAAACAGTTACTGATATATGCATATTCCCTGAAACAGTGATTATTGTCCTATACATATTCCCTGAAATAGTGATTATTGTGCCATACATATTCCCTGAAACAGTGATCATAGTTCTATACATATTCCCTGAAACAGTGTTCGTTGTTCTATACATATTCCCCGAAACAGAGATCGTTGTTCTATACATATTCCCCGAAACAGTGATCGGTGTTCTATACATATTCACTGAAACAGTGATCGTTGTTCTATACGTATTCCCCGGAACAGTGATCATTGTTCTAAGCATATTCCCTGAAACAGTGATCATTGTCCTATACATATTCCCCGAAACAGTGATCGTTGTTCTATACACATTCCCCAAAACAGTGATCATTGTTCTGTACATATTCACTGAAACAGTGATCATTGTTCTATACATATTCCCCGAAACAGTGATCGTTGTTCTATACATATTCACTGAAACAGTGATTGTTGTTCTATACAAAATCCCCCCGAAACAGTGATCGTTGTTCTGTACATATTCCCTGAAACGGTGGTCACTGATCTATACATATTCCCTGAAACAGTGATCATTGTTAAATACATATTCCCTGAAACAGTGATCATTGTTAAATACATATTGTTGATCATTGTTCTATAATAATGTCAATCGACATCCGTAATTATATTTTCAATTTCTTAAAATGGATTTCGTTATTTATAGCACATAGCGAGACCCTACTTACTACAAAGCTGTGTTATTAACAAATGAATAAAATACATGATATGGGGTACCAGGTGGTGTCCATGCCAACAGGCCACACGTGGAGCCGCACTGTGCTGTGCATCCTTGTGGTTCTTGGTGACGCCAGGTTCTACTAATGCGAGTTCGAATCCATACTCCGTAATTTTCATGAACCTTGGTTTGTCAGCACCATATCCTTGCCCATGGGTTTCACCTAAGGGGTAAACGTGAGATAGCGGATATAGTGCTCAGGGCGGTTTAAAAACTCACCCACTCACTGTATGGGCGTAGTTATTTACTCTCAGTTTGCGTGTAGGGAACCCAAACCTCAAATTAATGCATGCTGACAACGGCTAGTGTGTGCTCCATGCATGCTGACAACGGCTAGTGTGAATTCCATCCATGCTGACAACGGCTAGTGTGTGTTCCATGCATGCTGACAACGGCTAGTGTGTGTTCCATGCATGCTGACAACGGCTAGTGTGTGTTCCATGCATGCTGACAACGGCTGGTGTGTGTTCCATGCATGCTGACAACGGCTGGTGTGTGTTCCATGCATGCTGACAACGGCTGGTGTGCGTTCCATGCATGCTGACAACGGCTAGTGTGTGTTCCATGCATGCTGACAACGGATAGTGTGCGTGCCATCCATGCTGACAACGGCTAGTGTGCGTTCCATGCATGCTGACAACGGCTAGTGTGCGTTCCATCCATGCTGACAACGGCTAGTGTGCGTTCCATCCATGCTGACAACGGCTAGTGTGCGTTCCATCCATGCTGACAACGTCTAGTTTGTGTTCCATCAACCCTTTCCATCCATGCTGACAACGGATAGTGTGCGTGCCATCAATGCTGACAACGGCTAGTGTGCGTTCCATCCATGCTGACAACGGCTAGTGTGCGTTCCATCCATGCTGACAACGGCGAGTGTGTGTTCAATCAACGCTAAAACGGCTAGTGCGCGTTGCTGACAACAGGTGCGTGTGTTTCATCAACACATACCGTATGTACCATGCATGCAGACAACGGTGCGTGTGTTTCATCAACACATACCATACATGCAGACAACAGGTGCGTGTGTTTCATCAACACATACCACATGTACCATGCATGCAGACAATAGGTGCGTGTGTTTCATCAACACATACCATGCATGCTGACAACAGGTGCGTGTGTTTCATCAACACATACCATGCATGCAGACAACAGGTGCGTGTGTTTCATCAACACATACCATGCATGCTAACAACAGGTGCGTGTGTTTCATCAACACATACCACATGTACCATGCATGCTGACAACAGGTGTGAGTGTTTCATCAACACACACAAACATGCTGAATACAAGTTCGTGTGTTTCATCAACACATACCATGCATGCTGACAACAGGTGCGCGTGTTTCATCAACACATACCGTGTATGCAGACAACAGGTGCGTGTGTTTCATCAACACATACCATGCATGCTGACTACAGGTGCGTGTGTTTCATCAACACATACCATGCATTTTGACTACAGGTGCGTGTGTTTCATCAACACATACCGTGTATGCAGACAACAGGTGCGTGTGTTTCATCAACACATACCATGCATTTTGACAACAGGTGCGTGTGTTTCATCAACACATACCATGCATGCTAAGAACAGGTGCGTGTGTTTCATCAACACATACCGTGTATGCAGACAACAGGTGCGTGTGTTTCATCAACACATACCATGCATGCAGACAACATGTGCGTGTGTTTCATCAACACATACCATGTATGCTGACAACATGTGCGTGTGTTTCATCAACACATACCATGCATGCTGACAACAGTTTCGTGTGTTTCATCAACACATACCATGCATGCTGAAAACAGGTGCGTGTGTTTCATAAACACATACCATGCATGCTGACTACAGGTGCGTGTTTCATCAACACATGCCATGCATGCTGACTACATGTGCGTGTGTTTCATCAACACATACCATGCATGCTGACAACAGGTGCGTGTGTTTCATCAACACATACCATGCATTTTGACAACAGGTGCGTGTGTTTCATCAACACATACCGTGTATGCAGACAACATGTGCGTGTGTTTCATCAACACATACCATGCATGCTGACAACATGTGCGTGTGTTTCATCAACACATACCATGCATGCTGACAACAGGTGCGTGTGTTTCATAAACACATACCATGCATGCTGACTACAGGTGCGTGTTTCATCAACACATGCCATGCATGCTGACTACATGTGCATGTGTTTCATCAACACATACCATGCATGCTGAAAACAGGTGCGTGTGTATCATCAACACATACCATGCATGCTGACAACAGTTTCGTGTGTTTCATCAAGACATACCATGCATGCTGACAACAGTGCCGTGTGTTTCATTAACACATACCATACATTTTGACAACAGGTGTGAGTGTTTCATCAACACATACCATGCATGCAGACAACAGGTGCGCAAGATTTACATGTATATAGCTAAGATTGAAAGTGAGTAGATTTCAACCGACATACGACCATTGCAACAATGTAATTTGGTCAAGTGGGTAATACTATGTTTTTACACTACTTTTGCAATATTCCAACACTATCACGACCGGGGACACCAGAAATGGGCCTCACACATTGTACACATGTTGGGAATCGAACCTGGGTCTTCGGAGTGGCGAGCGAACGCTTTGACCATAAGATTACCCTGCTGCCCATTTGGTAGTGGTTAGAGCGTGTGAAGTAGTATGTGTATCGATTGTTTGGAGTACTCGACATGGCTGCTGTACATGCATGGCGACATTGTCTTCCACATTTCAATATTTATTCACACATCACAAATTCACAACAGTACACCGACACTTGTTTTTACACAATATATAAGCAACTACTTACTTAACAAGGGGGCTATGACAAATTATGATATTACAAATTATGATAAAAAAAACTTAGTAAATCTTGCTTTAACTTAATGGAAATGAATTGTTTAGAAATATTACTCCTTCTTATCGTCATAAAACACCAAATAGATGATCGAAACAGTGTTTGGGGGAGCTCAGAAACAATATTGTAATCAGCTGTTTTCAGTCTGAAAAGAAATATAAGACACATTAAAAACAAACACCTATACATATTTTTTCACATGATTTATGTCCCAAGAGACGACATGAAGTAATTATCGACTGTATTAGAAAAGTGAATGAGTTTGGTTTAACGCTGCTTTTAACAGTATTCCAGTTACATCGTGGCGTGTCAGCTTAATGTGGGAGGAAAGCTCGAAGTGATGCAGGTCTCAGACGTTTACCACTTCGGTGAAACCCACGAGCACGGGTATGGTGCTGACAAACCTAGAAACATAATCGGGATTCGAACCCACAATCATAGGATCCTGGCGTGCCCAAGGAACGCAACTCTGCACAGCGAATCGCGGCGCCTTAGACGACTGGGCCACCCGTGCCCCCGTATTAGAAAAGAAGATACATAACTTTACCCTAACACTACCCACTTTACGTGTAGGGGGGTGAACTAGTCCTATGTCCTGCCGCTCTTCCCTTCACACCCTGGGGCGGTCGGGTAGCCTACTGGTTAAAGCGTTCGCTCGCCACGCCGAAGACCAGGGTTCGATTCCCGACATGGGTACAATGTGTGAAGCCCATTTCTGGTGTCCCCCGCCGTGATATTGCTGGAATTTTGCTAAAAGCGGCGTAAAACCATACTCACTCACTCACTCACTCCCTTAACACCCTAGGATAAGTCATCTTCCCCAGGCAAAGGAGTTAACTGACCAGTGGAAACTGGGCTTTTATAGTCAGTTAACTCCCTTGCCTCGGGAAGAGGGCCCTAGTGAATGAATGGTGTTATTGTATTCATTCACGAGGGACAGATAATCCATACTTCCGAGTTTCAAGTTGGTTTTTCAATACATTACCCATGCGCTTTTAAGATTTGTTTGTTTTTTTGTTTGTTTTTTAACGCCTCACTCAACAGTATTCCAGCTATATGACGGCGGTCTGTAAGTAATCGAGTCTGGACCAGACAATCCAGTGATTGACAACATGAGCATCAATCAATCCACATAATTGGGATCGATGACATGCATCAACCAAGTCAGCGAGCCTCACTACCCGACCCCGTTAGTCGCCTCTTACGACAAGCATAGTCGCCTTTTACGGCAAGCATTGGTTGCTGAAGACCTATTCTACCCCGGATCATCACTGGCATTACTTTAAGATAGATAATGAAGAACAAACGTTCGAAATGTCAACCCTCCCAACCCTACAGAGATGACGTAATGGAATCAATCTGTGACGTCTTGAACAATGGATGACGTCACATCGAATTTTCTCAACAATGAAGCACTGTGACGTCATTTGGCTTCAATAAACCAATCAACATTTAGAATCGCTAAGTTGCACATGCGCAAATATCGGAGAGTGATTTCACACGATCATCCTACCCATATGTGTAAAATCACTCAAATCTCCCTGATCACGCTTCTAGGTTTGTCAGCACTCGCGCTTGCAGGTTTCAACGTAGTGGTAAGCGTCACAGGCTTGCACCATTGTTTTGTCTGTTGTTTAACGCCGCGCTCAGCAATATTCCAGCTATATGACGGCGGTCTGTAAATAATCGAGTCGGGAATATTGCTGAGTTCGGCGTTAAACAAAAAAAACAAAAAAACAAGTCATACATGTACTGAACTTACCACTGAGAAGAATTCGGCAAGAATAGCTGGCAGCTGGTCCTCGCAGTACTCCTTGAACACAACCGTTGTGCCATCAGCGGCACCCGCCACCATCTTGGAACATTCTGACACGAGGAAAAACACACAGAATACCGGATGTCAGTTTTTTTTTGTGTGTAAGCGATCGTCAGAAATATTACAGCCATATGACGGAGGTGTAAATAAATATGTGTGGGCCAGACAATCAAGTGATTTTACGACAGACGATCTAGTGATCGTGAGCAATTCTGACCCAGGTCACTACGAGGATGGTTTTGGTTGTTTGTTTGTTGTTTAACCGCGCATTCAGTATATATTCCAGCTCTATGACGGCGGTCTGTAAATAATCGAGTCTGGGCCAGACGATCCAGTGACTGACATCATGAGCATCGATCCACGCAATTGGGATCAATGCCATGCATCAACCAAGTCAGCGAGCCTGACCACCCGATCCCGTTAGTCGCCTTTTACGACAAGCATAGTCACCTTTTACGGCAAGCATGGGTTGCTGAAGACCTATTCTTCATGGGTCCCCAACGATGATATCTGAAAGTAACGAAGTCGGCAGGCCGACGTTGTGATCCCAGTGCAGCAGAAATTAACAATGTCGCGATCACGTTCTTAGCTAATTTCGGATATAACGAACTGCCTTATGAATTCTTTTCTGAGATTGCGAAATCGCATCCACCCGAAGCGCTCATTATATGACCAACATCCTCCTCAGTATGAAGACTTATTCCACTGTTTACTGGTTGTGTAGTGTATTGGTGTGTTGAAAAAGTAAGTGCATGAAATAATAAATGTCTTGGTTGTCACCCAAACCAAAGATTGGTTTGGTAGATTAGTTTGTTGTTTAACGCCACACTCAGCAAAATTCCAGGTATATGACGGCGGTCTGTAAATAATCGAGTCTGGACCAGACAATCCAGTGATTAATATCATAAGCATCGAACCACGGAATTGGGATCAATGACATGTATCAACCAAGTCAGTGAGCCTGACCACCCGATCCCGTTAGTCGCCTTTAACGACAAGCATAGTCACCTTTTACGGCAAGCATGGGTTGCTGAAGACCTATTCTACCCCGGAATCTTAACGGGTCCAAAAGAGAGACAATACAAATACTATCACATGACTGTTTTCAATGAAATGGGAGCAGTGGGGTACCCTAGTGTTCAAAGTTAAAGTGTTCACTCCGGTTCGTTTCCCCACAAGGGTAGAATGTCAGTGAAGCTCATTTCTGGTGTCCCCAGTCGTGATATTGCTGGAATAATGTTGACTAATGTCTAATCCAGTCTGGAGCAGGTAAACCAGTGGTCGATGGCATGAGCAATGATCCACATCGTTGGGCACAATGACGCACTATCTGTCAGATGACCGTACTGATACATTGGCTTACGATAGCCTTAGCGCTAAGATCGCTTTGTGCAAGTGGGCCATTGTTACAACCCGTTCCTCCTTATTAGACAACCCTTACACGAAATCACGGGACACTGGGGATAATTTTGTTACCCTGATTTCTCAAGGGCGAATGCAAAGTGAAAGATGACTCCTTACTTTTACCAGTTTCGGGACGAAATAAAATGAGAACCCTTTTGTCCATAGCAACGGCCCTCCCTATCTCGTATCCCACTCCGAGTGACGCTTGCGTGACTTCCACAATGAGGGCTGTAAAAGGAGTGAGTGGCATTAGAACGAAAAACGGAAATGTTAATGCCCAAATGGATGTTCACACGTTCCTCTGTCGCAAAATCAAGGCCATCTCTCTCTAAAGCCCCATTCACATGGACACTTTTACACTCTTACGTGAGTATATATACTTACATAAGTTAATCTACTTATGGTGGCATGTAAACGCATTTGCTTACGTGAGTAAATATACTCCAGGAGTAAAGAGACATGAGTAAAAGTATATTTGCTACACCTGATGAGGTCTAGTAAAAGTATATTTACTCATAAGTATAAATGCTCCTGGAGCAAGCCAGTAAATTGTCATGGCCACCTTGTGATCCAGCTCCAATGGTTCCCTCACATACATTTCCTGTGCAGGAAAATACGGCTGTAGTTCCTTGTAAAGAACATAAAATGTTTCGCGTGTCATTATCGATCCACAGTTTATCATCAAATGATCGTTTGACGACATTGTTCCACCAGTGTTGAGAACGTTCTCTCTTCCACAGTTCTCTTTCCTTGCATAATCCTAAGACTAATCCCATACTAAGAAAGTATGGAAAGTCTCTCTTTCGCCTCTGGTTGACTATCTTCGACAGCGACATGGCCTCAAATGTTCCACCAGTGTTGAGAACGTTCTCTCTTCCACAGTTCTCTTTCCTGGCATAATCCTAAGACTAATCCCATACTAAGAAAGTATGGAAAGTCTCTCTTTCGCCTCTGGTTGACTATCTTCGACAGCGACATGGCCTCAAATGATAAAAGTCCACAATTTATTTATGAAATGATGTTTACTTCTGCCTTGCATAAACTTCATGTGAACGCAATGTAAATATACTTTTGCTTACATGAGTAAATATACTCCATGAGTAAATTTGCTTACATGAGTAAATTTTGTCCATGTGAATGGGGCTTTAAGTTTCCTTCAAAAACAAAATCATTACAGAGGACGTGTGTTTTGCCCTGTCACTGCATAAAGTTGAGTCCATTGCAGGACAGAGTTGATTGTGGGTAGGAATTCCGGGTTCATATGACGTCATCTGGGGCGTGGTGGCATATACGACAATGCAAATTCTGAACAATATACAACATACATTTCTGCCACGAATTTAGAAAATACGAGAATACGGGTTATCTGTGAATTAATTAGCCAAACCTTTGCGACATTATTTCACCAGTGATGAATACTTCACAATACCGAGTTGTAAAGAGGTCATAATTAACCCACAGATATTTAATACCCCGTTCACATGCGCCTCTAAACATATGTGTGTATATGTGCATACGTGTGTAGAAATACATATACGTGGGTATACTTGGCATGTGAATATGTGTGTATATTTACACCAGGGGAAAATTTGCATCATGTCTGGAGCAGGTGCAAATGTAAATGTAACTTTGCACTGTGTGTACATGTTGCAATGTTGCCAACTTTTATGCGTATATACAGAGTTGAGCGGACGGTGTTTTCTTTTGGTTTCAAGGAGTCAAAACTTTGTGTACAAAATAAATCAAACACATGTTGCTTCACGCGAAAATTTTCGGTGAAGTAACTCTCTTCTCATTCAACTTTGATTGCAAAACAACCTGTTTTGTGTTGAAAGTCGTGAACAGACTGACGAATATGTGTGCCTTACACAATTTACATACTTTATTTACACACCTTAGATGCTTTTCGTGTGAACGCAGAGTAAATTTACATATACGTCCGTATAGTTACGCATGTGTAAAATTACTGACGTTATTAGACCGCCTCCGTGGTCTAGTGGTAGAGCGTCCGCCCGGAGAGCGGAAGGTGCGGAGTTCGATCCCCGTCCGCGTCATACCAAAAGACGTTAAAAGATGGTACTTGTTGTTACCCTGTCTGGCGCTCGGCATTAAAGGGGTAAAACCAGGACTTATCGGCTCGGAGTCAGTATACTGTGTCTGAGTGGGGTATTCATGTTAAACTGCGGCATGGTATCTCAGTGAGCTAGCACTATAAATCGGCATCAGTCCGACTAGTACAAGCAGCCACACACACACGTGCATGCACGTCGCTATATAAGTGCAATAATCTTGTACGCGATGTTAAACCTCCATTCACCCCACCTCACCTACTTACGTAAATGTTGTGCATGTGAACGGGGTATAAGAAAACGTAGACATGACGTGGGGGTTACCCAGACAAATGAAGACTCACCTGCACAAATAAATTTTTGGAAATCTCATCACACACAATCTTCTTATGATTCTATCGATCATGGATGACGTCATCTTTAGTTATTTGTGACAATGTACAATGCATTTATATGACGACACGTTGCGAAGGAACGCTTCGCAGGCAATCAAAACAATGTAAAAATGGGTGTCAAGTGAAACTTATTGAAACTTATTTCCCTGACTAATAAACCTCCAGTGACGTCATCCTATTGTTCGCCAGTCGGGTTAAATCTCATAAACAGAGATGTTATAATATTCCCAGGATTTTGTATAATGTACCCGGGATTTTATTAGAACAACTTCCGTTTATATTGTAATATTTTGATGATTCTCGCAAGACAATTATTTTGCATTTGAATATAATGTAATGAAATATAAAAGGCAACTGTTTTCTTAAATAAATATGCCCGCGGATCGAACTAACAACCTTCGTATCTGAAGCCCAGTGAGTGTACCACAAGGCTACATACGCAATGCTTTTAAGAATGTCTTTTTCAAGTACCGCACGCCAGCAACAGATATTTTACGCCCGTTTCCCGAAGTTCATGGACAGTATGTTTGAAACTGTCATGTTGACGTACCTCGGGTTTATCCCTTGGATTCGGGTTTTAAATATCATAAACACCCTCTGACGTGTTTTATCCTACGCCCGTGCCGCTGTGGGAAATATAAGGCATTCGTTTCATAACGTGTTACAGTGCAAATATAACCTACAGGTATATTACCATCGCATTCCTTCAGCCAAGCAATGTCTCGGTCGTGATTAACTTTCGGTGCCAGATCCTTCTCCTCTGCAAACAATGAAGATTGTAGGATGCAATATGTGAACATATAAACCTACTGACTGTTTGTGTAACTCGATAGGGAGTTTTTGAAAATGTGGTAACACCTCGTAGGGGGTATTACAACGATTGTAACACCAATCATTGTAAACCCTTGATAGAACAAAAACTACGAACAGCCTACGAGACGCACGTGCAGATTTCGTGCCATTGCGAGACGCACGTGCAGATTTCGCACCGTTGCGAAACCCACGTGCTGAGGTCACCGGTTTCACTGAACCGAGTTCACGACTGCAGGCGATATTTCATCTCCGATACAGGTTAAACATTTGGGAGTTTTATTCGATTATTTAATTAAAAACGTTGCCTATGCGATGAGTCGGTTTATAAGTTGGACAAACCATGTCTCCTCGAGATTACTAGAGATTGTAAACCCTCACATTCGGGAACGTCCCTCATGTGAGGGTTTACAATTTCTAGTAATCCCTCGGAGACATGGTTTCTCCTACACATAACATGATCGTAATATTTACCGGTGTAGATTGAATTGCACTGAGAGGGAGATTAACAACAGAAATGAGATGCTTGCACGTGTTACGTTAGAGAGTCATTATGAAGTCTACAACGGTTATGCGATGCGGTTGTATTTGACACGGTATCACGCTACATGATTCATATCAATGAGTATGACTCAATATGACGCCTCACTCAACAATATTCCAGCTATATGACGGCGGTCTGTAAATAATCGAGTCTGGACCAGACAATCCAGTGATTGACATCAGGAGCATCGATCCACATAATTGGGATATCTTCTTTGATAGGCATTTAGAAGTTGGAGTGCTAAGTAAGTATTAATTAATTGTAATAAAGAAGTTGTTCATCAATAAATTTTTATCCTTACTTAATTGGGATACAATGACATGCATCAACCAAGTCAGCGAGCCTGACCCCGATCCCGTTATTCGCCTCTTGCCCCAAGCATAGTCGCCTTTAACGACAAGCATGGGATGCTGAAGACCTATTCTAACACGGATCTTCTAAGGTCGTATGTATTCAAATATCAACTCGTACATTTTCAGCAATAGTTATTGTCCTTGCAACAAGATACTTAACAATGAATGAGAAAGTGGATAAATATTGTTCCCCGCAACAATCATAAATATTCTAGCTATGTCATGGTATCCCGCATATAATCGAATCTGGACCAAGCAAACTAGTGGTTGATAGCATGAGCAACGCTCTCTGCCATAAGGGGAAATTAATTAAACCAAACAGTGAACTAAGTTACACACAGTTTAACCCCCGAATCCTAATCTGAGTCGGTTCTTACGATGACAAAGAACTGCTGCCAATCTCATTAAAATCAGATCTTAGTTCTCGCTATCGCTAAACAACGATCTGAGGACATCCCTTTTCGGGTCACGTCAGACCGACCTTGCGCAAATTTTGACCGACCAATGGAAAGACTGACAAGAAGTCAACATTAGCCAATCAGAAGGCAGCTTTCTCGTGCTTTACGGCACTAATTTCGAATCGGCGACTACGCTTCGAAACATATTTTGACAAATTCTCGATTAAAAATTTGAAACCTGAACAAAAGAACATTCTGGAATGGCAAATATATTGGCTAGATTGTACGTATTCAGTCGTTAAACCCGTAACTATCGTTCGGAATACCCCGTGTTAACATTTTCGAGGTTGCATGATTAGAAATCACATTCCGACTGTCACTTTCATGATCTGGTAAGCGACGCTCTGATTGGTCGGATGAAAGGTCGTTCTGACGTGACCCCTAATGGGATGTCCTCAGATCTTTGTTTAGCGGTAGCGAGAGCTAAGATGTGATTTTAATGAGATTGAACTGCTGCGTGCAGGGCAACAATGCTGAAATTACACATGTTGAAGAAGTTACTTTCTATGGCATCTTGGTCGCCGACATATTTGGTAAGGACACTGCCATAGGCCTCGAGCTGGGCAATGATCCTGGCATAGAGGGTGCAGTCCTGTCTCCCCGCACTGATGCTGCCGCCGAAGTACAGTTTCCTCATTGTGCTGAAAAAGTCAGTGAGTAAGTGAGTGAGTATGGCGGTCTGTAAATAATCGAGTCTGGACCAGACAATCCAATTAATGAAATCATGAGTATCGATCCACGCGATCATGCGATGCATCAACCAAGTCAGCGAGCCTGACCACTCGGACCCGTTGGTAGCCTCATACAACAAGCATAGTCGCCTTTTACAGCAAGCATGGGTTGCTGAATACCTATTCTACCCCGGATCACAGGTCGGGTTTAATGACGCTTTTAGGTATCATAGCGGGTCAGCTTAAGGAAAGCCCAAATCAATAGTGGCTCCAGACGTTTACTTATTTGGAGAAACCCTCAAAATTGACCGACCAAGAATAATAATGATGGCGAATCTGGAATTCCCTGTGGTCCAGTGTCATTTACATCATTGGTGGTTTAGTGTCCTTGTCATCCTCGGTGTACCAATGCTCTTGACATCCTCTTTGGTCAAGTGGCCTTGACATCCTCTTTGGTCCAGCGTCCTTGACAACATCGTTGGTTTAGTGTCCTTGACAACATCGTTGTTTCAGTGTCCTTGACAACATCGTTGTTCCAATGCTCTTGACATCCTCCTTGGTCCAGTGTCGTTGACAACATCGTTGTTTCAGTGTCCTTGACAACATCGTTGTTCCAATGCTCTTGACATCCTTCTTGGTCCAGTGTCGTTGACAACATCGTTGTTTCAGTGTCCTTGACAACATCGTTGTTCCAATGCTCTTGACATCCTTCTTGGTCCAGTGTCGTTGACAACATCGGCGGTTCGGTGTATTTGACAACATCGGCGATTCAGTGTCCTTGACAACATCGTTGTTTCAGTGTTCTTGACATCCTCGGTGATCCAGTGTCCTTGACATCCTCGTGGTCCAGTGTCTATGTCTGATACATAGTCTATGTACAATTAGGATGATTGTTAAATGGTAGAATACTACATGTCATAAAATCGAGTTGCCGGACAGGTCAAGCGTTTTTAACTTACTGGGACTGACAGGTTTTCCCACTAAAACTGCGCCAACACAAATGCTCTGTATGTAAAACTGTTTCATCATGTGCATAATCGATACTCTTATTGAAGTGATAAACAGTCCGATAAAGTTGGCATCATGATTCGATAAATATGCAAATATGGGAACTACTTTTATACGTTCCATGCATAGATGATCAATAAATTACTTCCTACGATCCCAACTTGTTTTTGAATGACATTTCCCGATGTGAGAGTGTTTCAGTACACAAACATGGCTTCAAATCAGTCGGCACTATATTATGCATGGGGCGGTCCACTCTGGTACTGTATTCATACGCTATTTCTTAAGTTATTTCAGTGAGAGAAATTAAGCCTTAAACATCGATTATTTTAAGAATGACATTAAATGATACCCTCGTCTGTTTCCCCAGGGTAAATATAATATACTGAACCGTAAAAGAAACGTCACTATGGATAGATATATGAGAAACCTTATTTGTCCAAACACTGTAAACATACTTTGAGACATATTAAAAAGAAGAAACTTGGCAAAACTGATCATCAAGGTTGAAATTAAAGTGTCAAATGTTCTTAAAGTGAAACACAACACTAGTCTCTGAGAAAATGGCATCACAGGTATCTCGTGTGTCCGCCATGTGCAGTGATGAGTGCCGTGCAAAGTCGATACATAGAATGGATGAGGCGGTTGATGAAGAACCTAGGCACTTGAGCCCACACTCTGAGGAACGCCTGACGCAGTTCAGCTGCAGTGGTCGGCCTTCGTCGGACGTCATTCAGCAGTCTTTGAATCTCGTCCTGCAGGTGCTCAATGGGATTTAAATCGAGAATGGGGGCAGGCCGATGCATGGTTCTGATGCCATTCTGCTGGAGGAAGTCTCTTGTTGCTCTCGCACTGTGGGCACGGGCGTTACCATGCTGAAACTCGTGGTTGCGGCGACGTACCAAATGAGGTAAGGCGTGTGGTCTCAAGACTTGATCAATGTACCGAGCTGCTGTGACACCATTGCCTCTCCCTGGACCGATGTTCTGGAAGACCACAGGGCCGAACCTCTGTGCAAGACCAATTCCACCCCACACCATGATGCTCGGACCACCCCGCGAGTCTCTCTCAACAACACAAGCATCCGAATAACGTTCCCACCGGCGTCGCCAGACTCCCTCTCCGCCACCTGCTGTTGAGATACAGTAACGGCTCTCGTCTGAGAAGAGGACTCTTCTCAACTGCTGGTGCTGTGTTGCCCACTGAAGACGGCCCCGGCGATAACCTGGTGTCAGAATGGGTCCTCGGTGTGACCTGTGACAGTGGACGTGTCTGCTCGTCAATCGTCGACGCACGGTGTCCGCACTAATGGGTCGCTGGTGTGTCCCCATGGTCCGTTGAGCAGTTTCCGCGGCAGTAACAAAGCGATTTTGAAGATGCTGTCGTACAATCTGACGATCCTGACGTCGGGTGGTGAGCCTTGATCTTCCACTACGTGATCGGTCATCTGTAGTGTTGGTGGTCTGGTACCGTTGCTGGAGCTTGTATATGGTCCTTCCGTGGACTTAAAATGCATTGGCTACTTGCCGGGCGGTTTGTCCAGCTTGCAATCGTCCAAAGGCTTGGTGTCGCTGATTTCTTGTCAATCTTGGCTTGTGGTAGCAATTCAATAACGAATGAATGTTATCCAATCTGGGTAGATTTTTATAGGGCAAGAAATGGGGGAACGCATGTGTATTTCAATTTGCACGGAACTCACGTGCATCGGGTTACCATGGCCGTTGCCGTGATGCGTTTGGGCGATCGGTTTTATTGTCATCTGCTTTGTTTTTTTATCATCAAATTTCATTTTTCCGGACAAGGTAATATTAAATTTGAGAAACTTTGACATAAATTATCCATATATTCAAATGACAACTTTTCATGCAATGTTACTTGGGGTGGAGTTTCTTTTGGGGTTCAGTATATACGAGGAATAAACAAATATGTAGTTTTGATCCACTAGCTGTTATATTATATTTACGATACGGAAACTGACTCGGCAAATGACCTATTATATACAGGAATCGAAGGCCCCTTGCAATAGATACCACAATACAGTGGATGCAATATACGTGGTGACGAATCAATATGTGTCTAGATGGTCAGGATGACATAGTGGAATTTTACATCGAGATCACGAGTTGATTTGGTTTATGTCATGTCATGGCTATATATATACGCTGTGACCTCTGACCTGCGTGTCGGAGCATCCTGACATGAACCGCTTGACAATAGCGCCGCGTCATGTCGTTAGTTTCACCGAAACAGCGGGTATAAGAAATGTACCCACCTGATAGAGTCATGCGGCATTCACTTCCGGTGACCTGACCTAGAAATGTATGGCGGTAGACAAGAGATAATACATAATGTACTTCAGCCCACGAGGAAGGCAGTATTATGCAGTATCTTTATAGGTCACGTGTCAGACATATTTGTATACAGATAGGTGAGGATTTAAGACAGTTTTGAGCCCTCAAACCTGTTAAAATTCACATGGAGACACAAAATGGGTTACCTTTATGAAGGCTACACGCAATTAGTTGACTACTTCTTCTGAACGAGTGAATGTTGTGTCTCGCTGCAGTGACCAAAATGCCAACTTTATGACGACAGCGGTTAATTTAGAAACAAAGGTGGATGTTTTAAGGAACATTATTACTTTATAGATGACGGGAAATGTTTAAGATTAGAGAGAAAACACACCCCGTCCCGACAATTATGTCATGTTCTTTTGCCCTCCCCATCTACGTACGGATAGATCTTTTTATTAGTCATGGCCCCAGGAGAACGCAAAGTTTCAAAGTAGTTCGTTATCACAAAGTAAAGTCCCCTCGTCATTGACTGTGGATTGATTCATTCAGGTTGTTACTTTCCGTAGGTAATGACGCTGCCCTTCTCCCGAATCCCAAGGCTTGTCATCGAGGCTCCTCTTATTATACGTCCCGAGATAAATCGTTTCTGAGATTGTAGAAAGTCAAGCAAATCCTTTGAGTTTTTAAGAATCCACATAGTGTTAATTCCACTTGTCTAAAATACTTTCTGTGAATATAAAGAGGGTCTTTCCTTGACTGTATTAAGGATTGTGGTTAATGGTTTGAGACATGTGTTACATTTGCAGGACCAAGCGATATATCTCTCGTTTTACGGATGTTGATGGAGCTTTGGAGCTTTGAAAAGTGGAATGGAATGTCTTCAGGTTTTAGTACTGATGCAAGCTTTTGGCATATTTCTTCCTCAGTTAACATACTGACCTTATATGTGGCATCATTTCATAAGTCTCTTATACCAAGTTCTTTGATCAAGACATTAATGTAGTGATGCTTACATATAATGGTCAGGTTACTTGAGACCATGACAGTGGAAACAACTACACAAACTTTCCATGTAGGGCAGCCAGACTTTGGATGACAGCTGGCTGGGACAGAATGGGTTTATTCTAATTCTGTTTCCTCTTTTTCAGGTTGTGCATTCTACAAATGACCAAACAATGAAGACCCGGGTCAAAATAGGTCTTCAGCAACAAATGCTTTCCGTAAAAGCCTTAAAGGGGACTATGCTTGTCCTAAGAGGCGACTGACGGGATCGGGTGGTCAGGCTCGCTGACATGGTTGATGCATGTCATCGTATCCCATTTGCGTAGATCTACGCTCATGTCGTCAATAACTGGATTGTCTGGTCCAGATTGAATTATTTACAGACCGCCGTCTCATAGCTGGAATATTGCTGAATACGGCGCTAAACGACAAACAAACAAACTAAACATCGTGGGACCAGGGTAAGATTTGATCACGATCACTAGATTGTCTGTCGTATAATGGAGCGGTGACCTGCCTGATTACATGTCCTAACCCCGTCGGTCTGGGTCATATCAGTCACTGGATTGTTTGGCCTAAACATGATTATTTACAGATCCGTCATATAGCTGTAATATTGCTGCCGGTCGCTTACAGAAAAAAAAAAAAAAAACCAAACCAAAACCGACATCCGGCATTGTCGACATTCTCTGTGTCTTTCCTCGTGTCAGAATGTTCCAAGATGTTGGCGGGTGCCGCTGATGGCACAACGGTTGTGTTCAAGGAGTACTGCGAGGACCAGCTGTCCTTGCCGAATTCTTCTCAGTGGTAAATGTAGTACATATATGACTATCCTAAGACCATATAGCGATATCTCTGGACTATCAGACCCAAACAGATTAATGAGTAAAGAATTAAACTACATGTCGATTACATTGTAAACTTAATGAATGGTGCGTTTGGTTAAACGCTGCTTTGAACAATGTTTATATAGCTGGAATATTGCTAAGTGCGCAATTAAACAAACAAACAAACCAATGTGAACATCACGCACTGACTTAACACACTCTGAAAGACATGCAACAGGTTTCTCTTCTCTTTGGGCCAAATTTTGGCACATGCTTCGACAGCATCCATTATGATTGTAAAGTTGTGATCCCAATTGGCAGAAGGCTGCGATATTTTGGACCATATTGAATATATGGGGAAGGTTGTTATTGTCCAAAATAGAGACGTTATAACAATAGAGATGAGTCTTGGCTGCCAACTCCACCTTCTGCACAACACGTTCCTACAGTTGAACAACCTTGATGAAATGGTGTTCGTATCGGAAAATAAAAATGCTTGTGGTTCCTGAAATTCGAAATACTGTGGGACATTTTGGGAAATTTATAGCATTTATCCCCTTGTTTCCAAATTTCAAATTCAAGGAATCGGTCTCTGTCTGATTTAGTAGAGTTTGTTTCTGGTTTGACCAAACGTTTCAAAGCCATATTAAGAATTATCCTATCTGGTCGATATTGTGAGATCTTATAGTTTGTAGACCCATCCATCAGCAAAAGTTGCTGGAGTCGTTTAATTTCTTTCAATGACACAGAGTATGGTCTTGTTCTTACTTTGTGCAGTGCCATTGGTTCCCGAAGAAGAGGCGACAAACCTTCCGAATGAATGGTATCATTTGGCCTGCGTTCTTTCTTGTGGGACCGCCTCCGTGGTCTTGTGGTAGAGCGTCCGCCCGGAGAGCGGAAGGTCCAGGGTTCGATCCCGGGCCGCGTCATACAAAAAGACGTTAAAAGATTGTACTTGTTGTTACCCTGTCTGGCGCTCGGCATTAAGGGGCTAAAACAAGGACTGGTCGGCTCGGAGTCAGTATACTGTGTCTGAGTGGGGTATTCATGTTAAACTGCGGCATGGTATCTCAGTGAGCTAGCACTATAAATCGGCATCAGTCCGGACTAGTACAAGCAGCCACACACACACATACACGTGCATGCACGTCGCTATATAAGTGCAATAATCTTGGACGCGACGTTAAACCCAATTTCACCTCACCTCTTTCTTGTGACCATAGATGCGACGACTAAATACATCGCCGGTAGAAAGACTGCCAAAGCCTTATATTTTGTCGCTACATCCGAATGGCATTGCTGTACACAACAGTAGAATCCAATGCATTTCTCAGTACATTCTGTAAGGTATACTGCATTTAAGGCTGGGCTATGGATGCTACATTTTCTCTAATACCCCAAGCCAGTTTTGGATAACATCTGAGCCAAACGGCCCATCCCAGCCCCCTTTAAGACAGGCCGCTTCAAAAACACGACGTAGTACACCCTGATTGTTCTTCACAAGACCATGGAATGTTCACTGTGTCTTCTCCCAGCTGAATGAATGGACGTCACGCTCCAGTAGCGGCTCATTTCTTCATTCACTGAAGTCGGCCATACCGATGGCAAATTCGAGCAACCACAAAGCCACATCGCTTCAGTGAGTGCTTCATGAGGTCGGAAATATAGGTCGACGAAAAACGCGCAAAGGGTCCGATCCTGTACTGTACTGCATCGAGTCCTTCGTTGATCAGAATTAAATCATCAGGAACATCCTCAAAATAAAACTTCCTACCTATCGTAGTAGGTGGGTGAGCGAGTTTGGTCAAATGCCGCTTTGAACAGCATTTCCGCTATATCAGGACGTGTCACCTTGATTTGTGGGGAAAGCCCAATGTGGTGCAGGTGACAGGCGTTTACCACTTTGGTGAAACCCAGGATCACGGTACTGTGCCGACAAACCAAGAAAATACCATCGAGTAAACGTTGTAAATCTCTCAGTGAACTTGATCAGAGCAGCTCGTAGCTATGTCATGACATCAGTAATCGCGCCTGTACCAAACAAGTGGTCGATAGTATGAGCTGCGATTGAAGAGTAAGGTGAATGGAGTTTAACGTGGTTCCAGGTTATTGCACTTATATTACGACTTGCGTGGCTGCTTGTACAAGTCCGGACTGATGCTGGTTTAATAGTGCCAACCCACTGACAAAGTATATGTCCAGCGCCTGGCCAGGTGACAGCAAGTATACTATTTTAACGTATTTTGGATTGTTGCGGTGCGAGATCGACCCCCGACCTTCAGGTCTATCCACTAGACCACGGAGAGACGATTCATGATTTGGTTAAAATAACACCAACAGGCCACCGCGTAAAGCTTTCTCTCAGTTGCCCGTTAAAAGCAATATCCATGATTCATCCGTAATGTGTGTGACCATCCAATCCCTATTTTCGTCGGGTCTTTTGTCAGGACGTCCTTGGGGTCGGGTCCTCGTTGCAACCACCGCCCGAAGACATTCATAGATAGGCTAGATTCCAGTAACCATGATTGTCACAGGTGGCGACTACATGTAGCAGGGGATTGAACCACAAACATTCCTCTCTCCCAGCAGACCACTAGACCACAGAGGCTGTCTGTATTCAATAATATATATAAATATGTGAGGTGAGGTGAGGTGAAATGGGGTTTAACGTCGCGTCCAAGATTGTTGCACTTGTATAGCGACGTGCATGTACGTGTATGTGTGTTTGTGTGGCTGCTTGTACTATTTCGGACTGATGCCGATTTATAGTGCTAGCTCACTGAGTTACCATGCCGCAGTTTAACAGTCAGACACAGTATACTAACCCCGAGCCAACCAGTCCTTGTTTTAGCCCCTTAATGCTGAGCACCAGACAGGGTAACAACAAGTACCATCTTTTAATGTCTTTTGGTATGACACGGTCAGGGATCGAACACCAGACCTTCCGCTCTCTGGGTGGACGCTCTACCACTAGACCATGGAGGTCTATATAAATATGTATTTTAAACAGGTTTCTTGTTCACTCTACAGCATGACATGCGCAAGGAATGAAAACAGGAGCCAATGTCATGTACCATGTATTTTCATTCATTTATTAGCACTTTGTATCAGTATTACTCAGTATTTGGACATTCAACATTGAACACAATGTCAACTTATACCATGGGCCTGCCATACCAACATGCCCAAGTGACATTGTCATCACACAAGTCATTGAACCAGGACAACAGCAATAGTTCATCTCCGTATTTCCTCCATCAAGAGCAGCACCTGTACAATGGTGAACCAAGGGGTTAGATTTGAAATGAGCCAGGTCTCCAAACAGGGCTGGGTCAGCTACAGCTAAATGGTTGCTCCCATTACATTTGAGTACCATAGTTTTCTAAACCTCAGACACAAAGTAAAATGAGGGAGGATGACAAAGTAAAAATGAAATTTACAAAAAGGTCCCAGGCTCTTAATCGGGGAAATATAGTATTTATACACCAAGTTTCGGAGTGGATGTAGACTCCGTCTGTTCAGAGATATTCTGAGGGAAGAAGAAGCATTTATTGCTGTGAGAAACAATGACGAACCAAGAATCCAGATACTGACTGGGACAGATGCACTGACAAGTTGCACTAGCTGTTCATTGATAAATATCTTAACACTTCAACACTGACAAAACCTTCATTCATTTTTTTTTTCTATGAACAGTTATGTGTTCTGAATCAACAGCAAACAAGCCCAAACCACAAAATATTAATCTGAAAACATTCTTTTGAAATTCACCAATTGAACCTCTTGTAAGTGTTCTTGATAAAATAAATGTCAGACTATTTCAGCATCAACAGATCCTCTCACAGATGAATGTCCAGTGTCCACAGTTTCAAATGGCTCAGGAGATTCTCCCTGGTAAGAATTGCATGGGGTTTGATACTGTTTTAGCAATATTTCAGCAATATCACGGAGGGAGACACCAAGAATGGGCTTCACATATTATACCCATATGGGGATTCGAACCCCTGTCTTCTGCGTGACGTGCGAATGCTTCCACACTCCAACAACCTGGCTCCAAACAACTGGCTTGGTGACAAGGATATTAACCCTAAGGGTTAGCACTGCTTGCTGTTCCCATGTGTCCAGTGTAGAGAAGATGCAGGTCAGAGCGGATCCAACATACACCTTCTTTCACAACAACCTCTCCATTGCCAATCAGAGGGAACATTCAACATGTAATACGTTTCAAACACAAAGACATCAATATTATTGGAGGATTTGGATTAGGCACCGAACTGGAACATACTGGAAATGATTCTGTTTGCAGAATATTCCTTCAAATATAAGACAACATATCAGTGTGTAAGAATTGTATTATCAGTTCAGTGTAGCTTAGGCCATATATATTTTTTTAGTTTGTTTACGAGACCGACTGTGAAACACTCTGAAATTAGAAAAAAATACATATGACCTTTTAGTTTTTCTGGTAGTATTTTACAATTAGGTGAAATGAAAAAATAAAACTCAAATAAAAACCCAAATATTTTATCACCGCTGTTCGTAAGAAAATTGTGAATAATACATATAAAAATCTTTATTTAAAAAAAACCAAAAACAAATTAATTATCTTTTGCTATCATTTTTTTTTCATTCACTGGTAGCAGTACTAATCTGAAAGTCAAAATTTTTCAAAACAAATATTGACATTTTACACCAAATGTTTTGTAAACAAACCAATAACCAAAGGCCTTCTCCTGGAATAAGCAAAGGTCATGACATTTCTCCAAGCAATGCTTAACAATTAATGGTGATCATGGTGATCTTGATGACATCAACAGGATAGTGTGTTTAAAGGACAATTTAGTTTAAATACAGAGTAATCATTATATTTGTTTTTTCTGTACGTATGTAGAGCAATCACAAAAAAGCTTTGCTACAAGAAACAATTTCAATTTTTCAATGCCAAATATACATATGCAAATTTACATTAATTTTGACAAAACAATTATAAATGAAAATAGCCTAGCATTCATACAAGGGGGAGAAACAGGGTCCTTTTTGTTTAAGAATTTGAGAACATATGTTTTTTTGTGGACAACATTATATAATATAAGCTGGTTGACATCTACTTTTGAGTAACCTTCCATGTGAGCCTTAATCATTATGATAGGATCTTATTGGTATTTAGTAGATTTAAAAAAAACAAATTTCTCCCTAATATTTTGTCCTGCAGATCCATGGTCACATTTCAGAGACAATTCTGCAAGACTGTACCCCAGCTTGAACACAGGTTCTATTTTTGACAATGTTACACCAAACCTGATATACCATATTCGACGTAATAAGCGCCCCGCTCTAATAAGCGCCCACGGCAGTATTTGCTAATATATTGGCTAGTGAACAATCCTAATTAGCACCCCTTCCGATTGATCAATATTCACAAGACTTATTTATATTCGGATACAATACGCACTTGTGTGTTATATGCACCCTTAGTTATGGGCAATTAAGTTCTAGTAAAATATATCTGTAGTACATAAACATTTCAGGCTGTCAGCATAAACCACAAAATTTATCTTTCAACTGTTTTTTTCACGAAAATAATATTCTAATAAGAGCCCCCTATTTTTAATTTCGAGAGCGCCTGGGCGCTTATTACGTCGAATACAGTAATCACAAGTTTTGACAGAAATCAGCTGTTGCATATTGTTGGCTCCAAAAGGTGAAGTTTTCCAAATCACTGCTTTACAATACGAAGGGTAGGGTTTCTACAGAAAGTAATGTTGAGATTAAAATAAGTTAAAATAAACTCAATATTCTTGTTATGTATAAAAAGATATATAGGTAGTACTTAATATGTGCAATAATATATATAACAAATGTACAGACATATTTATATGTATATACCAGTTTTCAGTGTGCCCAGGACGAGCATGTCTAACTCAAGCAGACAAAATAACGAAGCAACAATTACTGTCTCCTTGCACAAGGCAATGAAAAAACTACTCTACCAAGCAGTATTCCAGTTACAACAGTTCCATTGCTATCTTCCTAATAAAAACCCTTGACAGAAAATTGATTTGTACAAATGAAACAAACTTGTCTTCTTGTGACATTCCTGCAACTAATCCATATCTCTGGAATGAGATACTGCAGACAGTTGTTATGAAAATAGTATGAACTGTACATGAACCAAATGAACCTTTATTCTGTATGTAGCTCACAGTTTTCGAAATTAATATTGTGGTCCTTGATATTCCTGTGATAGCATTTGGTGCACATGCATTTTACCGGACACCTATTCGCCATGTTTGTCGCCAAGTTGCTAACATAGCTGCAGGAAACAGACTTACTATTTAAAACCTAGGGCAATAAAGCTCTAAAAATGACTGATTGCATTAGAATGGTTTAATATGATTAAACCTCAAAATTGAATATCAAAGCAATTCATAACCATGGAAAATTAGACATAAATTCACAAAAAGTACTCGGAAATAGGTTCCATAGTGGCATGTGAAACCTTATCAAACATCCATTGGGAACATTTTTCAACAAATGCATAGAAGTTTGATTAACTTTAGTAACTAAATGTTACATTGGCTTATGAAAGCATTTAATTAAAGCCGCTGTGTGGGTGGCAAGCCAAAACCCATTATTTTAGCATGGCATCTGAAAAACTTGGAAACCATTACTAAGAATGGCGCTTGTCGACAACCCTTACCAAAATAGCAGGTAAAAAAAAAAGACATAAAAAGGGGCAGAAGGTGTCTGGTAAAATATATTCTTGCCCAACATTTGAACCGTGGAACCCCCTTAATTTTGAGCTACAGTGTCGCTGCATACTGTAATCACACACTGCATTAACAGGCTGTAGGTCACGAGGACAGACACACATTTACTGGGACGATGCTGTCTGCTTGAGTTACAGACACACTTCCCCACAACAGTCATTTGGTCAAGCCATCAAAGCATATGCATGACTAACATAAGAGAGACGACAGTGGTTGGTATCACTGTGTCGTCAGGAAATCAAGGAGGAATAGATACATGGTCATATACGCCAATACAAAACCAACAGCATTTCCTCTGCAATTTCTCGGCATGAACCAGAACAAAGATGAAGCAGCTTGAAAATATCCCACTGGGTACCATTGTATAAAGCGATATATTACCCACTGGGTGCTGTTTTACAAAGCGATCTTAGTGGTAAGGTGATCGTAGGTCCTATACCGTAACACAGACTAAGCAGTCGAAGTGCAAAGGTTGTTTTGTTAAATGGCACCCTAAACTGTTTAACTAAGGGGATAAAACATGATAAAACAGTCAGTTTTCTGAAAACAGATCAGCCTGTATAATATGGATGGGCTGCTTTATAGTTTTACTAGTGGATTACGTTGCCATAGTTACAGGTTGCCAAGTAAGATTTTGGTTTTGAAGGGTGAGGCTGACAAACATGTCACTTTATTCAGGGTTCCTTTCACATATTTATATACTGACTTTAATGATGCGGGTCGACCATCTGCTACGTCTAAGTATTGGTGTAAAATGCCCTTGTCTGTGCAGCATAAGGGAAGGAAACACTTGGTGAAAAATGATAGAAATTCTAAATTTCACAAAGTTTAAAATTCCTTTGAAGAGAGTGTGAGGGAGTGGCCGAGATGGAAGGAGAATACAGTGCAATAAATGTAACATCATAACAAACGGAAATATACAGGCCTGAAAATAGCTGTACACATGCAAGTTAAACTGACGATGTGGCGTAAAGCAATATTCATTCATTTTATAAAAAACATAAAAGTGAAACTACTTTTGGGATAATGAACAGAACATTGATGGTATACAAAATAATCCTTTAGAGTTTCAAAGCCTTGCTTCTGTGCTGTTCGTCAGCACAAGAACTTAATGTACACAAAACATTCAGTGATTGAAAATAAACCCACTATTTTGAAAATACAAATCAGCTGTCAATGACGGAAGCTAAGTTCTACATATAGCCCAGAAAGCAATGTATGTAACATTATGTTAAGTAAAATATTTGCCTCAATTTTCATCAATTTGACACTCAACCTAGTTAATCTGAATGGTCATATTCTGACATTGTTTCAAGCATAATACATTCTGTGACCTATTTCGGAATGACACAAGTTTTTGAATGAAAATGATCGTTTATTAGCCCATATTGCATAAATGAACTAACTTAAGTCAACACTGACACGGAAAAGTCATTTGACCTAACATGAAAGAAAGTAAACAAAACATAATTTTTTTCCCAATTTAATAAAAATATATTGAAAGTATTACAATCACCATCGTAAGTAAGCTTAAAAAAACCAACTGAACAAAAAAGGATCATGAATAATTTTGGGGATATTTTTTTCTAGTGAAGACAATACATCATCCCTAACTTTTCTTGTTCAGTATATAAGCATACCCTTTGGCGAATAGGACTGATATAGAGGCTGATTATCACACAGACAGCCATTTGGTTCAAGTCATGTTCAGCTATGGAAGCTTGTTTATAGTAATGATAATTCCCTTTTGAAAAATAAAAAATTGCATCTTGAATCAGGCCATCATTACAGTTATAATTGCACATAATATTTCAGAATACACACATATCCTTTGCGCACAAAATAAAAACTGACTATTCTACTTCATATATATTTCATGAAGTTGTAAACTAGTTTATAGAATCTAGTACATTCTACAGGATTTTACACAGCAATGACACACATCAGTGAAAACCTGATGCAAGACAATGTCAACTAAAAAGCCACTGGTCTTGGATGATGAAAACTAAAGGGGATGGATGTTCTTTTCCAATTTTTTTCCAGTTTGATCAAGTGTGTAATCCAAATGAACATCACTTGTTTGTCTCCAAACATACACAAACTTCCAGCAAATAGTGATTTAAGGACAAATGAGGGTCTGGGAACCAAGAAAATTATACCATATTCAACGTAATAAGCGCCCTGCTCTAATACGCGCCGCGGCAATATTTACTGATATATTGGCTAGTGAACAATCCCAATTAGCACCCCTTCCGATTGATCAATGTACACAAGACTTACTTATTCGTGTTTGATATTCACCCTTAATTATGGGCAATTAAATTGTCGAAAACATATCTATAGTGTATAATACACACAATTTTTTCTTTTATATCATTTCAGGCGGTCAGCATAAACAAAATTTACAATATTTCAACTCTGTTTTTTATTGCACCAAAATTATATTCTAATAAGAGCCCCCTATTTTTAATTTTGAGAGCGCCCTGGGTGCTTATTACGTCGAATACAGTAACTTAAATTTACCAAACAAACATTTCTACCCTTTAAATCCATGTAGCAATTCATGTCAATAGGAATCCCCTCGATTAGGTAATGAATTCAGCACATTAAGCACCCTGCTACACTAAGCGCCCCTGACCAACTTCTAGGCAGGTCTGTAAGTGATCCTTACCTGCGCCCCGTACAAAAACTGCAAATTTTAATGTGAGTCCATATTTTCCAGTGTATATTACAATATTTTTTTACAGGCAACAGAAGCAATAAGAGGGTATATAACCACTCAGTAACTACTATTGAAAAAGTTTCGTTTCATCGATTCTTGAACAGCTAACTACTGCACAAACTTTGAAAACAATTTAACTCATGTATGGTTTTCATAAAGCACTCCTCTTTGTCTATTCTCTAAACGAGCAGGAAGCTTATAACAGGTACTGCTGTCTCAAAAAAACATTTGAGTTATCTATACCATGTATATCAACCATGTTTATCTCTGCCACCCTTCAGGTTTTTATGTTGCTCTACATGTTTTTAAATCAATTCCTAATTGTGTCATTGCTCGAGAACAGAAACTATCACAAAAGCAGAATACATCTTTGCCAATATGCTGGGAAATTGGATAACAATCTTGCAGCTATAACCACTAGTGTATAATTTACCAACTCAGGATACCAACAGACAGTAAGACTATTTGACCACTGTGAGAAGTTTGACACATGGAACTTAAGCTTGCAAGACGGAGAGAAATTAACACTAGGAATTTCCTTCCTACGAAGACAGCAACATATACACACCACTTATTCAAACATTTAACTTTATATTTTCAATTACAAACACATTCGGTTTCCTATTTTTCCTGGCCATATAGCATATACTCTTATCCTTCAAAGAGTGCTTCACAATATAAGGCTTACAGATAGGTATCAACAACTCTTTGATCAGACATACAATTAACATCATTTGAGAGAAATAATCTACCATACATTTAAGTGTTAAATCATATTTCCTTCACAAAACACGCTAATCTGGAAATAAAGAAGAAAAATAACCCTGATATTTATTCTGTTATCAAATGCAACACTTAACCTACGTAGCAAAAAGACTCCTGTAAGATTGTCTGTCACATATATTGTTTCTCGTACTTCCAATATGGATGAGAAATTTCTTAATGTATGAGGAAAATACCTTTTCACCTTCACAAAGCAAGAGTTGTAGAGAAAGAGAAATAATGGTAAGGTTGTACAGAGGGTAAATATGTGCAATGTAGCTTAGTTTGTAGAAAAAAACATGGGGTCTGGCTGGCCGTGCTGACTTTGCTGTCTCTTTGCACTAGAGAGGTCCTTAGGGCAGGTAACTCTGCACGGACATCCTGCTTGTTTCACAACTACATACAGCTTAAAATCAAAACCAACTGTTAAGAATCCTCTCTGTGGTGGTGTTCCTGTGGCTGATCTGGTTGGTTGTCTGGAGCCTGTAGATCCTTTATTTGCTTGATCAAATACGCTTTTTCATCATTAAATTGTTCATCTTCAGATCTGTCATTGTGAAATTTGGAGAGGAATTCCAACAATCTTTCTTTGTTCCTAAGTAGAATTTCCAGAATAGGTTTGGGTTTGTTGGGGTTAGCCACAAATACCTGGAAAAAACAAACAAAATGTTGGTCAGGACAAAGAGAAATGAATAGATGTAAGCTATTTATGGAGTCACAGATCCAATATTTCACAAATGTGAAGAAGAATTAAAATTAGGAGTATTGCCTTTTCCCTTCCACCGAAGTTGTCGGCTAATATCAGTTAACGTAGGTCAATACAGGAAGGGCAGTACAACGATTTACAGTACTGGGTGCTGTTGTACAAAGCGATCGTAACGCTAAGGTGATCCCATACCCGAACATAGACTTGTGACAGTCGTAGCGCTAGGGTGATTATAACTCCCACACCTGAACATGACAGTCGTAGTGCTAAGATGATCGTAACTCCCATACCTGAACATAGATTATGACAGTCGTAGTGCTAGGGTTGTTTTGTACAACAGCACCCAAGATTCCAAGCTAAGTGCCCTTGGCAGGCAAATTGGGAAATAATTTTTTGAATGACTTATTTACGTAACTTCTGAGGAATTAGGAGATGTTAAAATCAAATTGGGAATTTTTACTGGCATTTGCTGTAGACTTGGGGCCGAATATCAGCCTTGGAGCAGATAAATTTTATGCTGCTTTTAGCAATATTCCAGCAATATCAAGGCGGGGGACACCAGAAATGGGCTTCACACATTGCACCCAATGTGGGAATTGAACCTGGTTTTTCTGCTCTAACCACAAGGCTACCCGACCATTCATATTCAAAAGAACACTTTTTCATTTCAGCCGACCATAAGGGGTGGTCAGAGACCACTTCTTACAAGTTGTATTCTTATTTTAACTAAAGATGTTTACATTTTGGAAGAAATATCTGTAAACCAAGTGATTACAAACAGGCCAAACATGATAATCTTTGTAATGTTAAAACTTAGAAAATAATTGGCCAACAATCCAAGCCAAGGGACCACGATGACATGCAATCAACCAGGTCACCAAGTCTGACCACCTGATCTGGTTGATTGCTCATCCGACCAGCACAGCTTGCTGGGACCAATTCTTACCCGGAATCCCCATAGTGGCCAATTTGTTAGATTTAAATATATTATGTTATATATGAACCAAACATTTCAACTAAATCATAATTAATATTTCTTGATATTCAAAGACATCTTTCTCAAGAATAATAAAATTTAAAACAATCAAAGACAAATGACAATGTGGCTGAGAATAACTGATGAGTGAGTGAGTATGGTTTTACGCCGCTTTTAGCAATATTCCAGCAATATCACGGCGGGGGACACCAGAAATGGGCTTCACACATTGTACCCATGTCGGGAATCAAACCCGGGTCTTCGGCGTGACGAGCGAACGCTGTAACCACTAGGCTACCCGACCGCGCCGAGAATAACTGGTTAACTATGGACATTGAACTCACCTTGAATACATGGAAGGCTTCAAACTGAATGTTACGAGACTTGTCTCTTAGCATGTTCATCATGAGTTTGAGGTTGGATGGGTTGCTGATGTAGCGGGTCATCACAGTGAAGTTGTGGCGGTCAAGGAGCAGCTCGCCCAACAGCTATAACAACAGCAGTCAGTCAGATCGGCTTAAACTGGGAGAAGGGCTTTGGCAAAATGGCAGTCAGATTGGTTTAAACTGGGACCAACTTGGGCAAAATGGCAGTCGGGTCGCCTTAAACAGGGACTTAGCAAGGGCAAAATGGCAGTCAGATCGGCTTAAACTGGGAAAAGGCTTGGGCAAAATGGCAGTCTTAATATAAACACCAATTCTGGAATCTTAATACATGACCACCCAATCATGACGGAATTTCTTTCTGTGTTGTGTTCACATTGCCTGGTTATCACCTGCTGTGTTTACAAACTTCAAAGCATGCATCTGATCGGTTCCTCTCAAGAAGTATACCAAGTGTGTAAGAGGTTACAAACAGTGAATTCCATCTACCAAAAAGGCTATATTAATTTCATTCAGAAATCCTAGACCATGACTACAAATAACATTGGCAAGAGAGGAAATTTCAGTTGGCAAAAATCTAAGAACACTGATAAGCAATATTCCAGCTATATGAGGGCGGTCTGTAAATTATCGAGTCTGGACTAGACTGACATCATGAGCATCGATCCATGCAATTGAGATGCGATGACATTAATCAATGAAGTCAGCCAGCCACCCGATCCCGTTAGTCGCCTCTTACGACAAGTATAGTCGCCTCTTACGACAAGTATAGTCGCCTTTAAGTGCAACCATGTGGGTTACGGCAACCATTTATAAGTCACCAGCCTACCTGGCTTTGTGGGAATAAATTTCAGCCACTGAATGTGAAGATTGTTACAATGATACAATGATACAATGATACAATATCAAAATCATGAAAGGTACTCACCTTCAAGGCCTGTCTCTTTGTTACATAATTTTCAGAGTTTAATAGCGTCTGGTACTTTGAGAAAACTACATCATAATTTTTTTCTAAGAAATCTGCAGACAACATTTTATGTTTGGTGAGAACTTCCTGCAAAACACAAAAAAAAGGACAAAAGTCAGTCAGGAGAAAGAGGTTACAAATCAGTTGGTTACGCTGTAAATTTTCCTAATAGTGTGAGTGAATTTTGTTTAACACAGCTTTATACAGTATTACAGTAATATAAAAGTTTGTCATCACATTGTGAGGCCAAGCAGCGCTAGAAACTAACACTAGTCCACTAGTCCTTATAATGAAAACACACAGCAAAACCCTTTAACATGACAAATTTCTACTAGTCCTTATGATACCTAACTATTGGGCAGTTTGACAAGGACTACAGGACTGGTGCCAATTTCTAACACTGCCAAGTTATGCAGGTCTTAAAACAGCTTGACAAGTAATGAAGTCTAGTGCTGACACACCAAGGATAATGAACAGGACGAATTTGGGATTCGAACCCATGATCATAGGATCCTGGCATGCCCAAGGGCCATAACTCCCCACATACTGGACGAATAGTGACAGTACATGGCCTGTGCTTGTGAGTGAGTAGGTGAGTTCATGTATAATCATGCAAGATAGCATCTATATCAGGGCGGCCTGTAAATATTCAGGTCTGGACTAGGAAACTAGTGATTGACAACATGATTAACAATCCATGTTATTACGGTACGATTAGCCAAGTCAAAAGAGCCTGACCACCCTCATTTGTTGTTCTTACAACAAGCAACAACTTGGACCAATTCTAACCCAGAATCCTGTCATGAACTTTATATGAACAGAGGCTCCAGCAATCGATGGAGTGAGTGAGTATGGTTTTACGCCGCTTTTAGCAATATTCCAGCAATATCACAGCGGGGGACACCAGAAATGGGCTTCACACATTGTACCCATGTCGGGAATCGAACCCGGGTCTTTGGCGTGACTAGCTAACGCCTAAACCACTAGGCTACCCAACCGCCCCAGCAATCGATGGAAGTGAAAATGGTCATCTCAACATCTCAATATGTTCAGAGAGGCATTTTCGCCAGAGATAACAAAATCAGAGTGTGATTATAGCTCTGAGTTAGTGCCATAGTGGTAGCACAAAAATCAGCAGTAATATTATTGAACAGCATCCACCTCACTGCTTTTGCTTCTTGAAAGTGCCAAATTAAAAAAAATATTGGAGAAGTAGCTTTAAGCAAATTAGCAAGAAAATTCTGAAAGAAATCAACATATTTCATGCCACAGGTGAGCAGTGACACATTTATGCATGGATTACTTTGTCGACATTTGAGATATACCAAAAACAGTTGCTTTCCATCATAGACAATTGAAACTTTATTCCATCACAATAGTTTACGTAAGTTATTGTCGATGACAACAATTACGTATCGAAAATCGTTAATATTTCTTCTCATCAATAATTCTGATTATTGACCTCTTTAGCCAGCCCTAATTTTCCTCCTACATGCACCATCTTCTTACCTTGAATGTTGAGAAGGCATCGGATGCAATATCAAATGTAGAACAAGTGACATAATCAAAGAACTGAAAGAAGATTTCAATTTCTAGAAGTTGTCGAGCCAGTGATTCGTAACGGCAACATTCACGGAGGATAACGCCACAATTGAGGGCAATTTCTGGGACCGAGTACCTGCAACAGGAACATGAGCATGTGTACAGTACCCCTGACTTTCAAGTCACAACAAACACAAGCAACGTAAGCAAGCAAGGGAAGCTAATCTGTAGAGCAAATTGCAGTACTTCAGATGAATTCACATGAACACTTTTTAGGACCTGATAGTGTAGTAACAGGGGTCAACTTGCGTCACTCGGTATGGTTTTGTTGACATGGTATTTCCTAGGTTTCATGCCTACGATAACGTCTTTGTGCATGTTGTGATGGAGCAAAAACATCAAAACTCATTGTAGGTGTGTATTGTGTGCACAACCTTTAATAAGCTGTATTTTTGTAAAAAGGGGTTCTGTATGTGAAAATACGGTACTTCTTTACAGTTTATGTAATCCTTGTTTTCACCTTTGTTTCTTGTTTAATGTGCACCAGCGTAAGAAACAAACAGTTTTCATCCACTAGTCCTTATAATGCCATATAGCAAAAACCTTAAAAAAGGCAAATTTCTACTAGTCCTTATGATACCTTAACTATTGGTCAATTTGGCAAGGACTATAGGACTAGTGCCAATTTCTACCTCTGTGCACTCAGCAATGTTCCAGCTGTATGACAGTGGTAAAAATTAATCAACCAGACAAACCAGTGATTGACATCATGAGCACTGATCCACACAATTTGGATACAATGACATGCATCAACCAATCAACCACCCAATCCCGTTAGTCGCCTCTAATGACAAAAATAATTGCCTCTTTCAACAACAAGCATGGGTTGCTGAAGACCTATTACAACCTGGATCTTAACGGGTCGGTCTCCATCTATCTAGACATTAATACCTACCCTTTCACAAGCTCGAGAAGTATCTGTGGCCTGACACTGATGTGCTCCACTGTGGGCGTGCGTGTCCCGATCTGCCGTCTCAGCAGATTGTTCACGATCAACACCACGTCCTTACGACCCTGAGCACAAACAAATCATCTTGGTCAGATTCATCAATGAATTCAAATATACAGTGCAATGAATGAGTAAAACATTAAACTAAAACCAAGACTACATTCAGAGATTTTGCCAGAAATTTACTGAGCTCAAGAAAGGAGGAATTTTCTTTCAACCAGTTGGGGAGTGTAGGAAAGTCGTATCTAAGATCATAGATGTATTTTTTAAATACATTCCGTCTGCATGAAATCTCAAGTGGAAACTGTTTTCTGAGCAAAATAACAGTCATGAGAATGAGAGACTTTGCTTACATCACGCTAGACTACTAATGGCAGACTATTTGTGGCTAATGTTGCAGACTACTATACCCCTAAAAGTTAAACCTTGATGTTTGCTCCAATATTATTTGATTCTTGGGGTCAGGGAAATCTGTAACTGTTAACATTTGGGGTTATGACAAGGATCCCTTGACTTTCAGGTTTAACTTTGAAATTTGATTTGGATCAAACACTATATTGTCAGAACTGCATGGGTTGCTGAAGACCTATTCTAACCCGGATCTTCAAGGGTTGCCATAAACATGTACAACTAGCAGTGGGGAATGGGGATATACTCAACAAGGGTCCCATCAACACTGAGGACTGACCTACCTCAAAGTCTATCTTGTTCAGGTTGAATATGAGGAGCTTGAAGATATCATTCAGGTACATCTCCTGAGCTAGCTGCGCCACTTGCTCAGACAAAGGCTCCTGGTCGGCCGTTCCATACACCATCAGCTTCATCTGCGTGATGATCTCACTTGTCTGTGGAGGGAGAATACATTATAGTTATCATTTATAATGTAGAATACTAAACGAACTCCCGTGTAAAACTAATTTTCTGAAATGATTGAATAATTATGGTATCTGATGAACGAAAGCAAGTCAGATAGCAGAACTATTCACGAGTTTCATAAATTTGGAATAACACTGGAGCGAGTTCACTGTTTTCTTTATTACTTGCTGTCAATAACTTTTTAAAATACTATTTCACTGTTGTGTGTGAAAAGGCAGACATCGACGCGATCCACAGCATACTCTAATTGAAAATACCAGAATAAAACTTCAAACATGTAAAAAGTTAAACATGTATTAATTTAATACCACACAACAGATCATTACAACATGTACAATACAGGAGTCTGTTCCACAAATCTATCATAGCGCTAAGGTTATCCTAACTCCCATACTTCCCCATTCACAGGATGGGTTTGTTGTTTAACGCTGCACTCATCAATATTCCAGCTATATGACGGTGGTCTGTAGTAAGTGAGTATGGTTTTATGCTGCTTTTAGCATTATTCTAGAAATATCACGGTGGGGCGCACCAGAAATGGGCTTCACACATTGTACCCACGTCGGGAATCGAACCAGGGTCTTCGGCGTTACGAGCAAACGCTTTAACCAACAGGCTACTCGAACGCCCATATTAAAAAAAACAACTTTTTCTTTTCATCCGACCCGGTGGTCAGTAAATAATTGTGTCTGGACCAGACAATCCAGTGGCTAATATCATGAGCATCAATCCACACAATTTGGATCGATGACATGCATCAACCAAGTCTACAAGCCCCATTCACAGGAAACAAGATAAAGTGACTAAGTGTACAAATAAGCATACAGTAGAGCTGGAAAAGGAGAAAATTCTTCTAAACATAAAATATCATGTACATAATGCCAAAAAGGAAATGGTTCTCAGGCACCTCATTTCTATTGCCCACAGAAACATTTTTTTCAAATTTCCCATGTAATATGACATGCATGAACGTAGTATTATCCATAAAATAAAATGCTTGACTATGTTGAGAACTTGTCACTTTATCAAAGAGCCGATGCACCCAGCTGTGTTTTTTGGTATTCTTGGTGGGGATAAAAATACAAAGTGTTTCTCCTGCACTACTTGTTTCCAATACAAAATATAAATAAAGTCCTACTGCCTTCCCACCTTTTGAGCAAAATGTGCCCAGGAAACAATTAAATTTTTTTATGCATCCTAATAATAGTAATAATAAAGATAACATCATATATATGAGCTTACCCTTTTTTGCTGTTTATCAATGTTTGCAATTGCCTCTTTTAAGTTTTTCACCAAGTCTAATGGACTTTTTGGTGATTTCCCAAAGAGCGGCATCTTGTTTACAGACTGCCTGGGCTAGACGACAGGCTCTCTACGTCCCCTCTCTTTATGGTACAACCTGCAACCACAATATAGACAGTGTTAATCAAACATTGCTCAACATCATACAATGGTCAAGGAGGGAAAACAAGTGGGCTAGACTAAATGCTTGGCACCAGAAATGTTGCCTTTTGAAAAACTAAAGACATTGACACTATATGACAGCGGTAGAAACTAACATTTTAGTACACTAGTCCTTATAACGGTAACATAGAGCAAAACATTTAAAAATTGCAAGGACTAGAGGACTCATGTCAATTTCTAATGCTGCATTGAGCAGGATTTATGTTTGTTTCTATTTGTATATAAATAATTGTGAGTCTTGGGGTCCCGGGTTTTGAAATAAAATTTCTAGTCCACTAGTCCTTAAAATGATAACATATCACAAAACCCTTAAAAAATAGTCCTTACGATACCATAACTATTGGGCAGCTTGGCACGGACTATGGACTGCTGAATTGGGGTCTCGCATTGACCAGTTCATAAACAGCAAGTTCACTACAAACAGCGTTAGAAATTGGCACTCGTCCTATAGTCCTTGCAAAACTGTCCAATAGATAAAGTATCCTAAGGACAGGTAGAAATCTGCCCTTTTTGAGGGTTTTGTTATATGTTATCTTTAAAAGGACTAGTGGGCTAAAACTGTTAGTTTCTGTCTCTGACAAAGTATGTTTGATGCTGGAGATGGAAATAAGCACTAGCCTGCTAGCCTGGACCAGTCTTGTTGATGTTAAAGGTATCCTTAGGGCTAGTAGCATTTGAAACATTATTGGGGATATTGATATACATGTAGCACTATTTTGGCTAGACGTTCTTGGTTAATTTTCATCCCTGTGATGCTGTATGCATTTTTTAGATGGGAATTCCTTTTTGAATCCAAACTCTATGTGATTGAGTGAAGAAAACCCGACATGGACTGTCCAAACATTGAATGTATGCTACTCAAAAGAAGTTAAGGATCACCCGATACTTTCATAATGGTAAAGTCAATCTGTCATGACATGAGAGATTAACTATAGTAATATGAAAGAATCAGGTGATCCTTAACTTCTTTTGAGTAGTATATATTATATATATTGCCAGACTCTACAAATATGAAATATCAGATAAATCTCACATACATCATGTACATGCTTTAGCTTAATTAACTTCAATCCTTCCAACATGCATACTCTCACCAAGTGTTCCAAATTCCAATATTTTAATGCATTCAAATTTGAAAAAGATGTGATATTGTTCAAAACTGGATATTTTTTAATTTATTTTTGTCAATTCTGATGATTTGGGAATTTTTAAAATTCAAATCGCGGATTTTTATTGTCATTTTCCGCAGCCTTAGGGCCGAATATCAGCCTCTGAGTAATTCCAGACAAATCCCTATAGTGTTATATGCCTAGGGCACAGTGTTTTGCATCCATAAACATCATAATGATTCAGCTTGTTTTTCTGAATCAAGAGACAGATGGCTTACAGTATATGAATAAACTCCACATAATATGCCACAGATATTCTCATATTTGCATCTCAATACAATCAGGAAACATAACCTGTTTCCATTATTCCAAATGTAGGTGAAGCATCCACTCCTGCTTATCACTTCTATCAGGAACATCATGTAGCAGGATCATATATCGTGCATACTAGGCTTATTACCATATACCATGGATACTGATTACATGTTATTGCACTGGAAGCAACTGCGTCCAATACACATGTGTACATGATATATCAGTGGTGTTCTGCATCTCAATAAGTGGCCAGACTCTCACATTCAACCTCAATTTCACTCTGGACATTCATTGTGTTTAACATAGGGTCAGGGACATAGTAATTCTCCACAACATCTGTCCTCCATTTCTGCTGCTCTCATGAGTTGTATTTGTAGGTCATGTTTTGTGCACAGCAGATATGGGTCAGCCAAGGACACAATGGATTTTGGTGATGAAAACAGAAGATTTACAGATGATGGAGAGACTGGTAACATATTCCATGATTTACAGCTCAATGAAACTAGATACAATGTGTAGACTGACACGATTAAGGTGCCGAGCAAACTCAACAAAATGATCCACTTTATTGTTTGTTGTTTAACGCTGCATTCAGCAATATTCCAGCTATATGATGGCGGTCTGTAAAAAAAATATTCAAGTCTGGGCCAGACAATCCAGTGATTGATATCATGAGCATCGATCCACGCAATTGGGATACAATGACATGCATCAACCAAGTCAGAGAGCTTGACCACCCGATCCCGTTAGTCGCCCCTTACGACAAGCATAGTCGCCATTTACAGTAAGCATGGGTTGCTGAAGACATATTCTATGCCATATCTTTACTTCAATCTCTTGTGACATATCTTGTGTGTTTGTAATGTTTCACAACTCTCTTTTAATTATTCCCACAAAAACTGATATATGGCAATAGATATTGTGCATGTTTAGCATTGTTTAGTAGTGGTGTGCAACATTACTGGCACACCAGTATATTGCAATATAGCCGTCAGCAATACACATATTGTAATACAGCCCCTGCAAATTGATATTTTCCAAAACAGTCACAGAAGAATGAATCATTCTTTTTTTTTAATATTTTATATTTTTGTTGAATGTTTGCTCTTTCCATTTCAGTTTCAGCATAGTTATGAATATTTTTGCGTTTGACAATGAGCAGTCAAACAGTAAATGACAGGACGACCAGAATTTTTATAAAACTGTTCTAGTTGAGTAAATCATGGTAATTGGCATTATGCAGGGTTCGACAGTACATGAAATACTGCATACTATACCAGTCCGTGCTGACACAGGTCGTGACAGTAGCAGACTATGTTTGCCATCCTTATTAGGGCCTTCATCAAATAAAAGCAAAGATATATCCTTACCATGCTTACAGCACATTAGCGAAATTGTTCATGCTCCAAACAGAGAATCATTAACTAAACAGTTCATTTGTCATTTATTTATTTTCTGTCAAACAGAAGAATTTAGTTTGTGTGGACTACTGAGCTTACAAGACGGAACAGAATTTTACTACACTTGGACTTTGGACAAGTGGCAAAAGTTGCAGACTGCTATACCCTTAAAAAGTTAAACCTTGATGTTTGCTCCAATATTTTTTTATTCTTGGGGTCAGCGACATCTGTAACTGTTAACATGACAAGGATCCCTTGACTTTCAAGTTTAACTTTGAAATTTGATTTGGATGACGATCATCATGATCATAATAGGTTTGGTCACAAAACATGCACAGTCAAAAATAAAAAAATAATATAAGTATATAAATCAGTTCTCGTTTTCCACTGTTTTCAGGGTTAGAAATTAACAGTTTTTACCCACTAGTCCTTATAATGATGACATATAGCAAAACCCTTAAAATGGGCCAATCGCTACTAGTCCTTAAGATACCGTTACAATTGGGCAGTTTGGTAAGGACTAACGCTGGTTTTACAAATTAGAATATATTCACTCAGTGACTCAAGTGAAGATCACAGTGAAGCATCATTAAGCATGAACCATGAAAGCTAAAGAATCCTTTTCACAGTCACAATGTAAACCTATCTGGATATACCAGTTAGGGTAGCCTCTTGCCCGCGCGGCAATTCAATTCCCATAACTCTGTGTAGAAATTCAGTTTGGCCTGTTTTTACATTTTTTCTCCCTTTTTGTTATCAAAAGAGTATTAATTTGCATGAAGAAAGACACAAATAGTAACATACATTCATAATGTTTGTATTAGTGTACTTTTGAAAAAAAATTTAACAGTAATCTCTTAGAAAGAGAAAATGTTACAAAAAATGATGCAAAACAGTAGGGTAATTTCAATTGGCAACTGCAAACTTCATGTGATGAATTTTGTAATAAAACTTATATCATTAGAATCACAAATGCACAAGGAATACCATAACGCACCGTAACGCGATGTTTTTCCACAACTTCAATGCGTAACGCGGTGGCGAAAAAATATCAAAAGCAGGAGAAATATACCAGAGCCTGGGATAGAAATTAGCACTAGCCTGCTAAACCTGATCAGTTTTGCTAATGTTAAAGGTATCCCTATGGCTAGTAGAATTTCAAAGATTTTGAGGGATATTACTATGTGTTATCACTATTCAGGCTAGTAGGCATCCTTGGCAAACTTTCTATCCCTGGGAGCAGTTGAGTTAAAAAATGGTGACAGACCATGCCTTTCTTGTCAACTGTGGTTTTGTGGCCATCACAAGAAGTAACAGAAATAAGACAAAGTGATGGCAAACAGCTGATTAGTAAGATACTGGCGAACAGCTAACATTTATCCCCAATTAGATCGGGTTACCCCTTCAGGACAAGTGACATTTCCTTGTGGACCACCACTTTTACCATGAAGTGGGAACTCTGTAGCAGATGATTTTGCAATCTAGTGAAAATATATGGTACCAGTGGAAGGATCATCACAAGCCCCATTACCACTTTAAAAGCATTGTCAGTGGAACATCATCAGCACTACCAGCAGGACCAGTGGAACATCAGCAACACTACCAGTGGAATCCCACTACCACACCCCGAGGAACGTCACAAGCATAACAGTGGAACTTTTCTAGCACAGTAACAGCACTATGAGATAAATGAGTGAGTTAAATATTTTACCCTACATCAGCAACATTTCATCTATATTGTGACTCATTACTACAAGAAAATATTCTGCCTTCTCGGTTATCATGGTTATAGATTATTAACACTGGTAATTTTGGCTTTATTTTAACACACCTTATCATATTTACAGGTATGAGGGAATTTGAGATATTCATTTCATGATGAAAAAGTATTAGAAAAGAGTATTAATATGCTTTAAGGCTAAAGAGAAAGGATAAAACATGTACACTATCACAGACTCATAGAAAAAAGAAGCACTGTTAACACTGGTTAATGTTTATATCTATATCATGAGTACCGGACCATGCTAGTTGCGGTGCAACGATACAATACACAATATACATATTTTTTTGTTATCAATACAAGACGATACACTTGCTAAAATAAATAACTACTCGTTTAATGCCGCCTCCCCCTACTCCACACTCCCAGCGTTGAACACATAGAGACTCAGGAACAACATTCTTTTATCCTTTCACAACTTAAGTTACTTGACTAGTTCCTCTTCAAGTTACATCGCATGTATATCACAGAAGATGTTTCATTTATTGACAAACGTGATCAGTGATGAAAAATGTTATTGTTATCATTGTAACTGTACACAATTCTTTTGATAGAGTGTCAGTTTCTTCTACTTAAGTAAAATTACTTAAATTAGAGTGACAAACAACATATTTCCTTATATACCGACACACAACCAGGTGACTAAACAAACATGCAACATCGATTTCAGTAACAAAGGGACGCAACTCCAACAGTCGGTCACTAAAATAAATGTCTAACATATTCATCTTCAAATAATCTAGGAGTTGTGATACTTGAATATGTAATAAGGTCAGGCGTCTTGTCAAAAGGAAACTGAGATTAACATTTCATGATTTACAGGATTTAAATGTGTCAGCATGATTTCATCTATCAATGGGCTGGGTCACCTGGTCCGACATCGACCGGGGACAGCAGGGTCATATTTAGAATTAAGAAATCTTAGAAAATTGACATGATAAGAATATATCCAATGTTTGTATTGGTGGATTATATCGCCAATAAAGTTAATTCATAAACAAAGTCAACAGAAATTTATAATTGTGAAATTTTGAGACACTGAAACGCTCGTATCGGAAAAATATGGCCGTCTGTTCGAGCCGATCTTCCTCGTTCATGAGTTGTGATGATGGGTCAGGTGAATACAAAACAAAAACATTGTAGTTTACAGGCGTCTTTAAACGAAGACTTAATGTCTTGTCCGTCTAAACACATCATTCAGTTAAAGTTAATCATCTAAATAGTAATGAATTGTCAAAAACTTACCAAAACTAAGAATACCTCACCTAAAAAACTTTGAGCAAGTGACGTCACATATGAACAAGTGCGCAAACCCGGAAGTATGAAATTGACGTTTAGATTAAACCATTAGCCAAACAACATACTTCGGGTTCAAAATAGGAGTATCGGCGTCAGTTGTCTAGGCGGCGCAACGCAAGAAATGCCACCCACACAACTCGACCGATCCATGCGAAGGTTCTTGAAGAAATATCAAACAGTTTTGAGATAAGTTTTAGAAAAACTGAGAGCAAATGAGTCCCGGGTAATTACACTGACAGGAGAAAATACTTCATTAATAAGTTACGTTATCAGCAACGACTTCACTTCTTAGCTGATATGAAGAATGTGTATATGTTATCAAAAGATAGAGGTTTCACTTTAGATTGCCTGTCACCATCAGTTAATTGATGTTATGAAAATTCAAAAAAATATGTTGTTTTAGATATAATCCTTGGCCAATAAAATTGGCCACGCAGAAATTACACAAACACACAGAGACACACCCACACACACACATACACACACACACACACACACTTTCCCAATTATATTTCAGTCTCCTCGACCTGTTCCCATCGATTTCTTGTTTTGTCTCAATTTAGTTTAATTTAAAGCTTTATAGCGTTCTATGTGAAGTCTCTATATGGGAGAGTAACTAAGTTATTGCTTGATTGCACAAGACCACAAAACATGAGTTAGGCTTGTTCCTGTGAATATATTTACCCAATTTCTTTGACAGGTGAGGTGAAATGGGGTTTAACGTCGCGTCCAAGATTATTGCACTTATGTATAGCAACGTATGAGATACCATGCCGCAGTTTAACATGAATACCCAGTTATAGGGTATACAGTATACTGACTCCGAGCTGACCAGTCCTTGTTTTGCCCCGTTATGCCAAGCGCCAGACAGGGAAACAATGACCACCATCTGTTAACGTCTTTTGGTATGACTCGGCCGAGGATCGAACCCCAGACCTTCCGCTATCAGGTCGGATGCTCTACTACCAGACAGACAGACATGGTAAATACAAAAGCAAACAGAGGTTCTTCGAGAAAACAATTTCTTTGAACAGTTGTGACGAATACAGTATTTACTTATCACATGGACGAAATGTGGACTTTGAGTTTGACCATCCCGGGTGTATATCAAGCCAAATATCTTGTCATCTCATCTCTTACATTTGGATCTACATATGCAGTCAGAAACTATTAAGTATGGCCTCTGAAACTCCGACAACGCGCAAAGATGTCATCATCATCGGAGCTGGTATTTCAGGTCTTGTGACGGCAAAGTGCTTGAAAGATGACGGGTTGAATGTTGTTGTGCTTGAGAGGACCGGTGAAGTGGGAGGCTTGTGGACTTTCCGAGAGAACGACTATGGTGTCATGAGGTTTACGCACATGTAAGTACCACAACGTAAGCTTATCAATCAAATTTGGACTTGACCTTTGTTTGAAATCAACGAGCTGAGGATCTGTATGTCCCATAACAATCAAAGTCATGTAAAGACATGTGATGCAGTCATCATCTTGTCAGCATCTTCTTGTTTCAGCCAAGTAATTGCTGCAGGTCGCATGTGTTTATTGTGCATGAGTATTTGTTGCGTTGTCAACTGATGAACTAATTAGGATTCGGGTTAATGAACTGACTTAATCATAGTGTGCTGGATTACCGAGAAGTCAATTTAGATAGGTTGTTGGATTGTCGAGGGTATCATTTGACAGACTGATAGCTAATTAGACATTAATCTGGATTGTGTTGGAACTTGAGAAGACAAGGTTTAGTGTACTTAGTGACTTGTTCTGACAGTGTTCTTGATTATGAAGGATCTAGACTTGACAGGGTTGTAGATATATAGAGGTTGATGGATTATGGAGGGACTAGTTCTAACAATGTTCTGGATTATTGAGAATGTTGTTTTTAGGGAGGGCTTGTATTAATAGCATCCTTATTATTTATTGAGAATGGTTTTTTTAATATATATATGTGATAGTCAATTGTGGTTTGTGGTTAGACAGTATTCTGTATTATTTGGGGCTTGTTGTGAAAGGGTTTGTATTGAGGATGTGTAGCGTACTTAAGAAAAAGGGACTGGTATTTAGGCCTGGGACGAGTCTAAATTTACTACCCGGGTACCCTCACCCCTTGTACCCGACCCTACCTGGGTACCCGCTGTTGGTTTCAAGAGATGGGTACAAAATGTCAGACTGGGAATAGTTTAACAGTAGCCCGAGTAAAATGTATAAAAAGATCTGGTGATGCATATACACTCAAGTTGACAGAAGTTTGATCTTTATTCAAACATATATGTCATAAGGAATGCATTCATAGTCATGAAGAATGCGATTCGCTGTGCAGAGTTGCGTCCCTTGGGCACGACAGAAACCTATGATTGTGGGTTCAAATCCCAGTTCGCCCCGATTATGTTTCTAGGTTTGTCAGCACCATACCCGTGCTCGTGGGTTTTAGCAAAGTGGTAAACGTCTGGGGCCTGCACCACTTCGGGCTTTCCTCCCACATTAAGCTGACAACTGGAATACTGTTAAAAGCGGCGTTAAATCCAACTCACTCACTCAATCACTTTTTAGGGGCTACAGATAAGCTGTGAATCAGCATTTAATTGCAAATATGATTACTTTTGAGTTTTTGCATACGAGCACTTGTGTCAAGGTTGTGTTTTTTTTGTTGTTGTTGTTTAACGCCGCACTTAGCAATATTCCAGCTATATGATGGCGGTCTGTAAATACCGTATTCAACGTAATAAGCGCCCAGGGCGCTCTCAAAATTGGAAATAGGGGGCTCTTTTAGAATATTATTTTGGTGAAAAAAAACAGAGTTAAAGGATAAATTTTGTGGTTTATGCTGACAGCCTGAAATGTTTATATATGACAGATTTATTTTTCCAGAATTTAATTGCCCATAATTAAGGATGCATAAACACACGAGTGTAATATACGTGAATAAATAAGTCTTGTGTACATTGATCAATCTGAAGGGGTGCTAATTGGGATTGTTCACTAGCCAAAATATAAGCAAATATCGCCGTGGCGCTTTTTAGAGCGGGGCGCTTATTACGGCGAATACGGTAATCGAGTTTGGACAATTGACATCATGAGCAATACAGGTTATGATGTCCATGTGCAGTCAGAACTTGCATGAAGACTACTGCAGTGAATAATGCACAATGGTGCCTCATGCTTAGTATGACTTAGAGTGGGGATTTATCTAGGTTTCAAACCGATGTGCCCTTGGCAGACAAATTGGGAAAAGAACCGTATGAATTGTTCAAAATTGGGTATTGTCATGAAAAGTTCATATTCAGGGGTATTTTAATATTTAATTCAATGGAAAAGTGAACAATTAAACATTATGGACTTCTCTTGTTTATTGGTCCTGTTTTCAGTGAAATGCAACACACCTCTGCAAAGTAACAGCAATAATTGTTATAATAGTAACATGACTTGGCAAATATTTACTTCCAATTTGGAAAGTTTATTGGCATTTTCTTCAGACTTGGGACCGGATATCGGCCTCTGAGCTGGTCTAGATAAATCAATGTTGATCGCTTTTGTGTTCTTCAAGTGTAGGTCATGTGACTTCCTCTTTAAGGAATCACATACAAAATGTATACCAGACAGTTATGGGCTGTTATCCCTGCTGTAATGGCCAAGACCGCCTCCGTGGCATTTGGGAGCATCTGCCCTGAGAGCGGAATGCCACGTCATACCAAAAGACGTCAAGAAAAGATGGTACTTGTTGTTACCCTGCCTGGCGCTCGGCATTAAGGGGCTTAAACAAGAACTGGTCGTCTTGGAGAAAAATATGTTGTGTACAATGAGAATAATACATGCGAGTCAATACTCACTGGCTCGAAAAAATATCCGAGGCATATATGGAGGGACGGTAGAGTGAGAGGGCTGGATTATTTGACTGGTTTGTTTCATCACAGTGCCCAGTGATGCTCATAGGGTGTTCTGTACCAGGGTACTATCAATATTTGTCATATACCAGCGTTCCTGTTTACCAGTAACTACCATTTTTTTACCGGTAAAATTAGTCCCTGTGGACCGGCAAATAAAGTACTTTATAATTCTTTGTTGTTGTACAAAACATCAGGGATATTCATAAAAGTACATTTTTTTAACAAAGTCAGCATGTCTGTTACCATCAGGGTTTCCCCTTGTCTATTTCTGGTTAAATATCCATTTTTAGCGACCTTGTCTCGAAATATTAAAAAAAGAAGAGAAAATTGTGACTGAAGTTTGTGTGAATGACATAAAGATCTAACTAAGTTACTTCAGACATGACATCTTTGCACTGAACATGATGTTGAAAGAATTAAAGCCAAATAATTTTTATATGTTTTTTTATTTGTTGAAAGTTGGGACTGGCAAAAATTCGGGGGACAGGTAATTTTTAGAGTTGCCAGTCCACAAGGACTGGCAGTTTCAAAAGCCAGCGGGGACACTGTATACCTGTCAATGATAAGAGGCATTTTGCATGTGCGATAGAGCCAACATGGAGAAGGTCATACCACAGGGGTGTAATAACCAGACCTGTATTACATCCCCTGTGTCTTGTCAATGTGTTTTGAATGGATGATCGATATCAGCCTGGGTGGTAAAAAAATTAAGAGTTACATGTACATCACTTAGGGCGTCACCTGCTCGTCTGCTCAGCTAGCTTTCCTGTGACAATGACTTCCAAACAAGGTGAAAATGTCTTGCACTCACTTGCAAATAGTACATTTTACAATTTTATGTTATGGTATATGATAAAAAGGTTATTATATGTCAATTTTCATATGACACCCCATATCAACCCTCGACCCCCATATCAGCCCCAGGGCCGAAGGCCAAAGGTCAGAAGGCTGATACCGGGGTCGAGGGTTGATATGGGGAATTACCGTATTCGACGTAATAAGCGCCCAGGGCGCTCTCAAAATTAGAAAGAGGGGGCTCTTATTAGAATATTATTTTGGTGAAAGAGTTGAAAGATCGTAAATTTTGTGGTTAAGGCTGACAGCCTGAAATGATACGAAAGAAAAGTCTGTGCGTATTAGACACGCCAGATAAATTTTTCCAGAATTTAATTTCCCGTAATTAAGGGTGCATATAACACATGGAGGGTGCCAATTGGGATTGTTCACTAGCCAATATATTAGCAAATATCGCCGTGGGCGCTTATTAGAGCGGGGCGCTTATTACGTCGAATACAGTATATGAAAACTGACACCTAATAACTTCTATGTATCTTGTGAACATAAAGGAACATATTGATATGTACTTCACTACCTTGAACACAATCAAATTGTACTTTGAACCCAAAAATTAGTAAACATTTTGAGATTTCAAAAAAGTAAATAATATGTTTTAGATGTATATAAGGGTTCTAACTAAAGGTTTGACTCGGAAAGTAAATTAGCTCGTAATTGTGTTTTGGGATTAGCCCCATTGTACGCATGCTGAAAAAACTTTGTCGGGTATTTACATGTGCTGTTTTTATACATTTGAGTTTTTCATTAAATGCACGCATTTCTGTAAGATAATTGAAAGTAATTGGGTTTCAATATTTTTGGGGGGTATTTTACGCAAATACACAGCTTATCTGTAGCTCTGGTAGAGCAGTTTGTAACATTCTTTTACCCAATAAGTATTTAAACAGCATTGTTAGTTTTGTATGTCTTTACAATTGTTGTGGACACATTAGTCTGTACTCTGTAGAGCCATCGCTTGTTTTGGCTTGTGATTGGAGTTTGAGTAACAAAATGGATGCAGAAGACGTTTTTCATCAAAACCAAACCAAACCATGCTAAGAATGATTTCTAATTTTAGTCAGAAAATTTCACAGTTTAGACACCAATTACCCCAGATATTCTTATAAATGGTCCAAAAAATATTCCAAAGGTTTGTTTTATTTTATCATGATGTAACTATCTTAGTGTAACGGCTAAAATCTGTTGTGCTATTTTCAAACAGAGAAAGTCAGTCCTTCATTGTCATTTTTGATATAATAAGAATTAGAAATGTGTATTTATTGCTTATAATATATATTTTTTAAGTGTGTACATAGAATATAAGCATGTATATTTTACCCATCTTAGTCTCCTCTAACTCTGTATAGAGTAGCCCGCCTGTTTTCCATCTTCTGTCCTCCATTTTTTAATGTACCCAGCTATTCCTAATTGTCTCAATTTGGGATTGGCACGTTTCCTCTGGGATTGCGCCTACATCCCAAAATGCCTATACTCTATAAAACCAATTTATATTATCGTTTCAGGTAATTTCCAGTTCTCACTAAATTTATAGGATTACATTTAAGTTTGCCTTTGAGGATAAAAAGCTTGAATCACAGTGAAATAAAAACGTTAATTTCAATTTACTTAACAATACGTACTAAAAA